TTTTTTTTCAATTATTTTATTGTTGGTTGTGATTGCTGATTTTTTCTTGCAAATTTTATTGTAATTATTTCAGAAGTTTCAATATTTGTATTCTCCATATCATCTTTTGTTTCTTGTCGTGTTTTTTCCGTTTATTTTTTTGTTTTTCCAATTTTTAATCAACTTAAATTGTATAGGCCTATAGAATAATTAATAATTAATGATAATTTTCTAATAATTTCTATAATTGCGGCCTATATATAATATATGTAAATCAATTTAAACAATTGAAATTGTAATAGAATTAATTGTAATATTATAATATTATAATCTGTAATTGATATTTTTTGCAATCTTGAATATATTATTTTTATTGGTCATCTTCGTGTTTTAATCAAATTTTAACTCTTGCAAATATTTTGTAGTTAAGTACCTGTAAGTTATATTTTTGTATTGTTCTTTTTATTCATTTTCTAAGATGAAATAACTGGCTTGAGAGCTAAAGTTTCTTTTAACTGTGGTTATTCCTTGCAATCTTGGATATTGATTCGTATTTTGTTTCATGGGAAAATAAAGAATAAATAAATAAAAAAAAAATAAATAAAAAATTTGAAGCAGTTACAATGACGGATAACAATGCCCGATTCATCGTCATTTAGGTGCAGGCCTATTAGATGGGACGGTGTATTTGTGGTAGAGGGGCCAAGTTAGCTTAAAGGGAGATTTGGAGTGATGAAGTCTCCTCTCAGACAAAAAAGAAAACAACTCTTACAGATCTCTTTACCATGAAAGAGATTCCTTTTCACTGGGTCAATATCAAATACTGTATATCCATTTGTTTCGAGCTGAGGTTTCAGCTACATGAAGGCAACAGCGTACGGTAGCACATACAGTGCCGGTAGATAATGTTGATGTCCGTACCAGCATCAAACGGTACATATTAATATGCAACATATTGCCATAACAACATTATTTGCTTTTGTAGAGGACACTATGGAAACTGTACGAGTATCTCTAGTTACACGAGTATCTGCAGGCGTGTTTACTTGCACTGTATTGTGGTTCGTCATACAGTTAGGGATATTACATCATGCGAGTGTAGAGCTTAAACGTAATATACACATATTGACTGATTTGAAAGCGAGACCATGATAGCAAACATATTTTGATATCTCATTTATTGGATACCTTTGGTAAACAATGTAATATGACATAGTTTTTGCCATATACTCCGATGGTTTTCTTTATCATTCAAGCAACTCCTCAAAACCTACCTTTTCGATTTCCACTTTTACTGAATATCGCTTATTTATTATTTATTAAAATCTTCCCAATTTTTGTTGATTGTTAAGCGCTGAGAGGCGTGCTATATCAAGTTAAACTTCATTATTATTATTATTATTATTATTATTATTATTATTATTATTATTATTATTAGTTAAAGCCGAGCTGGTTTGATAGCATCAGAAATTACTAATGGATATTAATGATAGGCCAAATATAATAATGATAATGATGATGTTAGTAACTTGAAAAGAGTTAAATAGAAATTGAGTTTAACTAAACTTTTATTGTTTTGTGAATAACTGTTACCAGGGAACAGTGAAAACTGTTCCCTGGAGTTACTATTTTATGAGTAAAATTCACATTCGTTGGTATTTAAGTATTTATTATTATTATTATTATTATTATTATTATTATTATTATTATTATTATTTTCCCATTGTCTATAGCATGATGATTGGCTATAATGTTTGTGCCTGAAGGAGGTAACGTTTTGATATTTAAAATGTATATGGTCCTTTATTGTATAAGCAAATACTGCGATATTCTTTCCTATTTCAATGGTCTTTTTTTTTTATTGTATAGAATTATATATTTTTAGTTTCAGAATATCAATAATAGTGATATTTTTACATTTTTATTTAGCAAAAATCACACAAACTTTTACGCTTTACAACTACACATGCGAGCTCAAGGAATGAATAAAAAGAACGAATGGTACAAAAAGGACTAATTCATGAATAAAAATAACATTAAAACGATAGGCCCTATTTTTCGCTTGATTTATTTTGACGTCCTGCTAGTAGATATAGTTATACCTACTACATCTAAGATGCCTAAGCGCACCATTTTTTTTGTAGACCGCTGTTGCTATTTTAACTAGATCGGCCAACTGTGGCAGCCGAGACGATTTGCTCATAATATGGGCATGATAATGTCCCTGATATATTATTATTTGTCGCAGAAAATTTTAGTGTGTACAAAGCTTTATAACGGCGGTCAATACTCAAAATGCTATAAACGGTACCGTATATCCCAATAAATTCCATAATTAGCAATGCTATCTTTAATCCCAATAAATTCCATAATTAGCAATGCTATCTTTAAAAAAAAAAATGATACGCCCTCTTCTTATCCTGTCTCTTATACACATCTAGATGTGTATAAGAGACAGAGCTGGAAATTACGCGTTGTTACATGCTTTGTGTTCCTGAGAGAGTCAGGAGTCACTCTTTGTGACATTACCGTGCTCACGGGCGTCAAGACATGCGGTACGCATGCGTAAGTCTTTTAAAATGCTCAAAATTATTCTTTTTTTTAAAACTAATTACAGCATATGTTAGCATATTATTAAACATTTCAATCAACACCGCGCGCGCTTCCTGAGGGTCAAAGTACAGCGGATCACCGAATTCGTCCTCAGTGACGAGTTCAAATCTACATTCTCGGGATATTAAATTACAGACGATATTATGCCCCAATTATTTCAATTTACACATGCCTTCATAATAAATAAGGAAATTTAAATTGCAGTCTTTCAACAGGCGCATTGAATATCGATCCGAAGAGCGTGTGCCAAATTAGGGAAATGGAAAGACAATCAGTTGTTAAAATTATTTAATGAGATCTAAGCTAAATAGTCCTAATTGGTTTAATGTGGCGCGCGGCTCTGACGAGCTTACGCCACAGTCGCGAAAACTCATCATACACTATTCAATTTAAACTGGCATAAAAACTGTAAGAACAAACTTCAAAGAATTGATACAACTTTACAACTATAGTTCAAACAATATTCGTTCATCTTCAAGATTGAAATTATAACTGGGACTTCATCATCTTGATTGTAATAATGTTCCTTAAATAAATACAGTACTGTACTATCGAGTAATCACAATAGGGGCCTACATGTTAGTGGTTCACAGTAAAGAGTTTCTTGTGCTTGCATATAAACTTACTTAAGTGTGACCTAGACAAAATAACTGTAGTCCTCCAGAATTACGGAAGACGTTTATGTATCAGGGGCGTAGGCTGGTTTTGGTCTGGGGGTGGGTTCGAAACGGCCTGGGGGTGTGAAAATTGAGAATACGGAGCTAAATCCCTATAGTCAAATGAAAACTTACGGGTCACTTTTAGTATTTTAACTTATGTGAATAAATTTGCTGTCATGTAGAATAGGTTTGCACACTCCGCCTACGCCAATTTGTCAACTATAATTTGTGGTCGGCAGGATTGTACAATATACTGTAATAATAATAATAATAATAATAATAATAACAATAATAATAATAATAATAATAATAATAATAATAATGATCATAATAATATTTATTTGAATAAATGCTGTTTAGCAGCGGCACACATCACATTGACAGCGCATCCACAGTAAACATATTCAAAATCAACTTGATCTCTATAGCACAAATAAAAACAGACGGACAGCAAATCTATCGGGGCCTACTTGCAATGAGGTTAAATGCAAGCATTATACCGATCTCAAGATCACCGATTAACTTTAATTAAGTGCTTAAAATCTTTTAAGTGCGGGATCGACAGTTTCTGGTAATTTGCTTGTGTTAATGATAGACAGTACTGTATATGCGTAGCCCCACACATGATTAATACTGAGCTCTTTACATAATATTTAGGTCATGTATACATGCAATATCTTGTATTTTGTGTACAGGTGGTATACCCCCTGATTAATCATCGTGAGGAGTGACAATATGATTTGAAGTAAGTTTGATAGTAATTGTTATTGTCGTGATGGAATAGACAATAATTGAATTTGCGTCAGGAGAAACATGTATAGGTGTAATTTTGCCCATGAACATCTTAATCAATTGATGATAGTAACAAGAAAAAACTTTTTTTCGCAATTGTTTTCAAACGTACTGAGTATTCAGTACATTTCCACATCAGGTAGGGCTGTATCTTGTATAAAGGTTCACTTAAAAAAGATTATCATCCCATTTCCATTAATCACCTTCATCGCCTATGGTACACGAGGCCTCATTCAATATTGTTTATAATACAGTTTTAATCTAGTTTGTTTTCTGTCTTCTCATTTTTCTCTTTTTATGAAGTGTCCAAACAAGAGCTGTCTGTTTTACAATTCTATTGCATAGTACAAATCAAATATAATGTTGTTTTTCATCATAAGATGGAGGTTTGTATTATCTTTTGTTAGAATAAAACACGTTTTTGTTTTGATTAACATCTTCAGCTATTTGACATGGAAAAATACCTTGTGTTGAAAGGCATATGTTTGGAATAAAGTGGTACATGCTGTAGTTGTCAACACTGTACTATTATGGGTTTAATTTGCTTTAGCACAAAAGTAAACGTCCTGATTGATGTTACTGGTTATTACTTTTGAGTGAAAAAAATGTATTGTGTTATTTCAGGATTCAATGCAAGGCCATCTGATTACCGTCCAGTTGCTCCACCAATTGAGCTATGAGGCCAAGTTGATATATTTCCTGAAGTTTTTCTAATTAGGACATGGTATTGCACAATATTCAATATTGATTTATCACAGGATTTGAAAATTAGTATGAAAAAAAAAACAACTTTCATCTGTAAAAATTATTCAACTGTTGAAATTATATTACTAACATAAGACCTTGTATCACACACCTGGTAACAGAGGTAAGTTTATATCATCGGCTTTGTTTAGAAAACCACTATTAACAAATACTAACGGCAAAAACTTAAAATAAATACACAGAAGACTGGTATAAAACTTATCTTATTTTATATATAATACAATAAACATACTAAAAGGTAATTTATTTGGTATAATAAAGATTGTATACTTTACTAAGATGGCAAAATACAGATAGTGAGAGTGGGGGGGGGGTGGGGTTGGCAGAAGTACAGATTCACAACAAACATTAGTTCTAAAATATGTCTGTTGAAAATCTGTAACATCAATAAATTATTCTTGAATCTTGATGTACCTATATTTATAAGAAGGACCTTGGGAGGTAAAACACCAAGCTTCTCATTTACAAGTATCAAATTACAGAAATCAGTTTTTGCTCATTTAAACTCTGTCCACACTATCAAAATTTATGCGACAAAAAACTAATATTTGGGTGTAATATGACATCATTATGCCCATATATGGGCACATCACACAAATTTGTCACTTAAGACACTGGTCTACAACTACCGGCCAAATCATAAGCGATTAACCTTTGAAAGAAATGGTCTTGGTTGTGGGTTTGGCATCAACGACAGTTTAGGCGTTGTATTGCTAGATTTTCCTTTGAATGTAAACTTTTTGGATAGTGCTCCTTTATTGCTGGGGTTGTATGATGCTTTAGACACCCATCCTCCACTAGTGTTCCTGTGATTTGATGCAGCATTGCCTGTTGGCCTGTAGCTGTTATCGGATGCCTTCATTTTTTTATTGCTAAATGTTCTGGGAGCTCTTTTGCGCTTTGTTTGTCTTCCTTTAATTGACGAGGTAGCACCAGAATTAAAATAGTGCGACTCATTTTCCTGGACTGAGGTGTTGTCATCAAAGTCTCCGTCTTCCACTGGTAAAATTAAAATATTTTATAATTAGTATAATTTATTGGTCTATAAAATACAATATGGAGGCAAAATAAAAATAGAATAAATAATGAATAAAATTCACTTATGTAAATTACCAACATATGTAGTCTTAAAATATACAGAAATTAAAAAATGGTTAATTTATAAGCTGGTAGATAAAAGAAAGGGGAGTGTATTTAAACGAATGTAACACAGTACAGGAATGAAATAAAAGCATTGTACAATACAGTGAAGTAATGAAATGTAAACTATCATACTATAATGCAGTGGAGGAATGAAATATAATTTGAAGAGACAATGGTGCTCATCTGTTGAATAATATCATCAAGTATTGTACTTCTACAGTCAAAAAGATCTTCGATCCATGCTTTGTAAACATTACAGTAATAAAATCACTACCTTGACTACTGTAACCAACACTCAGTTGGGGGCATGGGAAACATGGTTAACATTTCATGACCAAAATTATGACGTCAACAAAGATGGTGTAGATGAAGATGATAATGATGAATTATTGTCTGGACTATGAAAAAAATATACATGTATGCAATAATCTAAAAATACATAGCATACGTTTCTAGCATTTATTCACAAGCAATATTGACAAAATTGCCATGGTGCGGGCACTTTCTACAGTACACTAAAAAAAATCTCGCTTATAAACATAATCTGCCAGCCAGTGTGTTAAATGTATCAAATAAGTTTAGTAATTTCTAATAAAATAGAGATTTCACAGATTTACAGACTATGGAAGTCACACTTAAATCACCACTAATTTAAGAATATTCATAATAATATAGGAACACAATCATTTATACATCCATTAATTTGATATAAGACGCAAATTTATTTGCATATGATTGTTATACTTCACGTCAACTTACGTTGTGTAATCTGTGGTACAAATTTATAAATAACATTCAGGAAATGCTGACCGAATCTGGCCAACTTGGCTTCAGTCACTCCAGTGCAGCCTAACATCTCCTCATTGGTCAAGGGTAGCTTCTGTGATAACTCTTGAATAGTTTGTGCTGCGATGGAGAAAAAAATGAAAAACCACTCCATTATGTATTTATTAATGCTTCATTAAGGTAGGTCTAAAAGCAAGCTTCTTAATTGATGAGGACTTCACTAAAAATGTTGCTAGAATTCAAAAGTTCAATCATTTGCATCATATAATGAGCCAGGAATTCTATACCTTTTTCATTATTCTGATAAATGACAATAACATAAATGTCAGGCATATGGAATTTGTCAGATTCAACAATGTTTGATCAAACTTGGAGCCCTGCACCTTACATATTGTTGCTAAGGTTCCATCAAAACAACAGCGTAAACGTACGTAAACATGTGCATTTGAGGGACAAACATGCATTCCTGTTCCTGTTCAGATTGGTCAGTTGTTAAGTTTGATTGAAATCATTGTCCAACATAAGTTATCAAATTTAATGTACAGTAACAAATACCTGTGATTTGCCCATATATGGGTATGATAGAATGGCATCATCATGCCCATATATGGATGTAAATGATAGTGTAGAGACAGCTTTGGAAAGACACTTAATTTTGTATCAGATATGTCTGAAATAAGAATACAATATCAAATAGTCTGACAAATCCTTTTTAGCCTGACAGACAAAAAATTGATAGTGAAAGCTCAAATAGTTTCATCTGGTTTCTGTGAAGTACGAACATCGAAAAATTCTTGTAAGTAAACCATTAAATATACATCCAACAAACCAGTCATTGGCTGATGAAGGTCTGTTGATAATGGATCGAAACATCACAAAACACTACGTATATTTAATGGTTTACTTACAAGAATTTGTTCACGTTCAAATTAATAGTGACTTGGCTTTAACAAACCGAATGATTCCGGTATTTGGCAAATATATATCAAAAAGATCAAGACCTAAGTAACAATGCAAGATCATACAGGTATATTTTTTTACAGACATATACTTTAATCTTTGACATGTCCATGCATAGTATATGTGAAACTATAAGATGACTTATCACGAGTATTTTACAAGTTCAACAACTTCACAATCAATCCAGAATTTATTATGGAAAGCTTCATGGAAAAATGGACTGAGACAAGCATCAATGCTGATGACGAAAAGGAATATTAAAACATGTTTGGTTCAATGGCCAATGCAGATTTAACTTAATTTATCTACTTTAGATATCACTTTACTACTGAGTACTCTGTCCGCATATAGAAGCAATTCTTCGAATTGCTTTCAAATGTATTAATTACTGGCAGGCGAAAGTCATGGATTTGATGGGCACAGGAACTGACAGACGAAAGACGTTTACATGTATGACAAAATATCAAGATTTATGACATTTACATAATATATATTGTCCACAAGTTACCATTTTAGACCACAACATTCAGTATACTGTACTGACCACACCAAAAATATACTGTTCAGAACACATTTTAAATTGTAGATAGTTACCGGAATTATTATTCCGGTAACATCTATATATAAAATATATTATCTTCGTTTTTCTCTCCGAGCGGTTTATGCCTGTTACAATGATCATACACGGTATATCTTTACTGCTATTGGAGCGATTTTTAATGAATTTTAATTTATTCTTTTAATAGAGTGCATGTTTTATAGACGTATTTATTTTTTTGTATTTAATGTAGTAACATGTATTGCCAATGTAGTATATGTCTCAAACAAGTAAAAAAGAATCACAGAAAATTATTATGTACAATTTGCCATAAATATGTTCACAAATCATGTTCTAATTTAACCGTTAAAGAATTCAGAAAAAGAGATAATTCTAAATTTTGGCATTGTTTAAAGTGTAATGACTCCCTATCAATACCGTTTAATCCTATTAGTGATCAAAATGAGTATCTATTGGAAAAATAAAAATAAAAATAAAAATATCCTAAATAACTGCAAAAAAAGTAGTCAGTATGAAAATCTTGTGATTGATCCTCAAGAAATCAATACAAGCAAATCTGATTATTATTTACCTGACAAATTGAATGAAATACTAACTAATGTAGCATCAAATTTATCGATGCTAAATGTACTGTAAATATCAGGAGTTCGCATAAAAACTTTGAATCACTGAAGGATTTTCTCAACAGTAGTGAGGCAAATTTTAAAACCATTGGTCTAGTTGAAACCTGGCTTAGAGATCAACCACATGAATACTTTCATTTGAATGGATATAATTTTGAACACAAAAATAAGTTAAACGGGAGAGGTGGTGGAGTTGGCTTATTCATAGAAGAAAACATAAAGTACAATATTAGACATGATTTAAATACTATTGTCTATCCTGAGAATACTGAAACCTTATTTATTGAAATTGAACGAAATTTGTGTAAAAACATAATCGTTGGTATTATTTATAGATCACCTAATCAGAATATTAATAAATTTAATAAATTTGTTGATAATATATTACATGAAGTGGCCAGAAAATAAAATAAAATTGTGTATATTATGGGTGACTTTAATATAAATATTTTGAATGATGACATGCATTTACCTACAACTGACTTCATTGATACATTTACTTCTTATTCATTTTTTCCTAGTATTACTAAACCAACCAGAATTACGCCTAGAACTGCAACCTTAATTGATAATATATTTACGAATTCGTATTGTAAACAAATTTCTGGTATCATCCTCACTGATATCAGTGACCATTTCCCATCATTCATTTTTACAGATTTATCCACATATAGAAGGATTGAAGAAAGTCAAAGTGAAATTAGAATTATGAATGATGCTAATATTCAACTATTTAAAGACAAGCTAAACTCAGTTGATTTGGTAAATGTCTGTTCATCTAAATGATGTTAATGTTTCATATGTCATTTATGGATAAATTTAATATGTTGTATGATGAATGTATACCCAAGAAACAAGTAACCAAGATGAAAAAATACACCCAAATCTCCATGGATTACATTGGCCTTGATAAAATGTATTCGTAGAAAAAATATGCTTTATAAAAAATCTATTAAGAAACCTACAGACAAATATATCTCCATTTACAAAATGTATCGTAATACGCTAAATACTTCCATAAGATTGTCCAAAGAAATTTTTTTTCCTAAATTATTAACAAAAGAACGATATAACATGAAGAATACTTGGAAAATCCTCAATGGCATCTTAAGATGTAGTAAGAGGGTAACACCACAACAATTTAGTGAATTTCAGAAAATGTTTATCTCCTTAATTTCGTAAGGATTTTCTTGATCTTAAGTTTCTTTATAATATCATTCATAGTAATCTCGATTGTAATCTTATTTCAAGTTTCTTTATTAATATTCCATCTCGTACATTAAGAAGTAAACCCACATTTTATGTTCCTTTTGGGAGGGTTAATGCCATCCAAAATGATTTATTTTGTAGATTAAGTAAATTATATAATTCCCTTTTAGTTCAAGATAATAATCTTGATATATTTTCATATTCGTTTAATCAGTTTAGGCATAAAGTTTTAAGTGTACTGTAATTGATAATTTTATGATCTTCTTTTCCTTGATGTTCTTCCAGTTTTCAATTTGTTGTTTTGTATTTTTTGTATTTGCATTTTTGTTTAATAACTCTCCTATTATTGGCAAATTTATTTTGCTGTTGGTTGTGGTTTTAAAGAAATAAAGAAATAAAGTAATAACGAATCAATTACCGATCACGATGAAATAGCCAATGGATCTAATAAGTTTTTTTCTAATATTGGACCGTCGATGGCTGAAAAAATAAAACACACTGGCAACAACTTTAATTATTACCTCAATAATAACTATAATGCGACTTGTTCTTGAGACCAACTAATGAAGAGGAGATAAATGAAATAATATATAAACTCTCTAGCAACAGAAGTCCAGGTCATGATAATATACATCCAGGTTTAATTAAAAAAGTAGCTAAAGAAATTTTGTCTCCATTGAGTTTTATATTTAATCTTTCTATGAGTAGTGGAACAGTACCAGATGCTTTAAAAATTGTCAAAGTTGTACCAATTTATAAGAAAGATAATCCAGAGTTATTTAGCAACTACAGACCGGTGTCTGTGCTTCCATGTTTTTCCAATATTTTTTGATGCATAACAGATGTTACAATTTCTTGAGTAATTTTAACATTTTATATAGCAAACAATATGGATTCAGAAAGAATCATGCTACACATATGGCTATACTGGATTTGGTAAATAATGTAACTAAAGCAATAAACAATGACATGTATACTTTAGGCATTTTTATGGATTTATCGAAGGCTTTCGATACGATCGATCACCGCATTCTGTTAGATAAGCTATATAATTACAGATTCCGTGGTGTATCATATAATTGGTTCCAAAATTATTTATCAAATATAAAGCAGTATGTGTACAATCATGTAAATTCATTATATGAGAGTGTTAAGTGTGGAGTTCCACAAGGTTCGATACTAGGGCCTTTATTGTTTATTATATATATGAATGATATATGTAATACTTCTAAACTACTCTCATTTATATTATTTGCAGATGACACAACTGTCTTCTATTCGGATTGTAATATCGATAACATGTTAAATGTAATGAATAATGAGCTTTCCGAAATCTCTAATTGGTTTAAATGTAACAAATTGTCGCTCAATACAGATAAAACAAATCTTATGTTTCTGGGAACACCTCACCAAACCAAAAATATAAACTCAACTTGTTTTATTTATTTGGATGGTTGTAAATTAACCCGGGTACCAGAGGCATCATTTCTTGGAGTAGTTTTAGATCAAAATCTTACTTGGAAATGGCATATCAATAACATTCAGAAGAAGTGTTCTAAAAATATTGGTGTGTTAAATAAAGTAAAGCATTTCCTACTGGAGAAATCTTTACTATTACTGTACTATTCCCTTATTTTGTCACACATTAACTATGGGATTATGCTATGGGGTAAAGCAAACAAAGGTTATGTGAATAAAATATTAAAATTGCAAAAGAAAGCTTTAAGAATATTTACCAATAGTCCATATTTATGTCATACGAGGAAAAACTAAATCTATTGAATGTTTTTGATCTATACAAGAAAGAACTAGGTATCTTTATGTTTAAATACAACCATGGAATGTTACCCACATCCTTTAATAATATCTTTACTGATCATAAAAGTATTCATGGGTACAATACTAGGAATAAAAATAACTATCGACTAGATATTCATAAGATTGAATCTGTATTTTCTACTGGACCTAAATTTTGGAATAATTTGCCAGAAAGAGTTAAAAACTCTTACAGTGTCAATCATTTTAAAACACAGATTTCTAAGCACATCCAATCTCTTAATGCAAGTTAACTTCATGGCAATACTGTGACTTGAGTAACGATTACTTGTTCATTTTGGTAACATGTATTTCATATGGGTAGGTGGGTCTCTGTATCTGCCGTAATGTAATTTGTTCCGATTTTTGTGTATTTTTAATGTTTTTTAATATTCTATATTATGATTGTCTTTTTGTTAAGTTGATACAACACATTGTCAGGCCTTGCCTTTGTTGTATTTCCTCCATCTTAATTTGTTATTTTATTGACGATGGAAAATAAAGATTGATTGATTGTTCCACACCATTTAATACCGTATATACAGTATATTCTCCAGAATTTACTATTAAATATTTTGTCAAGACTAAACCATCAAAACAACTGGCAATATCTTACCATTCAATAAACATTGTCAGAGACTACACTATTTAATACTGGTATGTTTTCAAGACTGTGACACTTCACTTAATTTGATATATATATATTGTGCATATCTTACAATATACTTTGCGCATATCAGTGGGATATTGTTTTAAAATAAAAAACATTTCCTCTTATACTTTTTTACGTTACACTAAAATGAATATCAAATGACAACTGCTAGTTCGAGATCGCTGATTATGTCCATATTAGGCAGAGTAATTTATACACTCTACCATAAATATATAGTGTGGTCCTTACCATTAAATATATTGTCTGGGTTCATGCCAGTTTGTCTGCCTAATTGCCTGCATGTTGATCTCAACTCATCGTAAAGGCTCTGCTTAAGCTTTTGTGTTTCACTAATGACTGGGCTGACTACAGTGATCTTAGTCGGCTTACTACCGGATTGGATGTTCATCTCAACCTGATGAATGATAAAAGATAACACAACACATTGGTCACGCTAATACCAGTTTATCCATACATGCATTCAAGTGCTAGTATGAACATACTGTGTTTTTATAACAAGAATTGTTTGCAATTGTGTAAATATACAAGGTTCACAGAATAAGTTTATTTTTAGCACCGAAAGAGTAATTCTAGAAATTTTAAAGTCCATCTAAAATGACATACTCTAGAATTATATAATAAACATATTGGAGGCTTTCATTTTATTTTTAGATAACACGTTTTTCTGAAAAACGAGTTTTAAATCACCTTCTGAATCGGACCCGCATTTGACCTTTATCGGATATGACAACACATACACTCGGTACAAAATAACACAGGATGTTCGCAGGATTGCGACTCAAACAATAGATAGTATGATTCATGGGTTTACGATATTCTCAGTTAAGGCCTATGGTAATCATACACCGGAAATTCATTGAGTAATTATTATATAAACATTCAAAACATATTAGCAGCCCTCGAAATTAGCGTCGGTATCACGTCATGACCACAACGTAAGAGTGAGGATGCGAGTAGGCCCAGGCCCTATTCTCTGCATCCACCCCATACTTACCATGGAGCCCATATTCCCTAGGTACAGCAAATGTGTTTGAATAAAACATTAAAACTATTTGTTTTGATTTACTTTATTCATGATGATTAAACATTTTACACAAAATACACACATATTATATGCTATTATGAAAGATGAGTTTGTTTACTTTTTTCTAGAATACGTCATAGTAATGTGGATCATGTGTTCTCTACAACGTCGTCTTTCTTGATGTTCTGCGCTCGATCATGGCCGCTCGGCAAAAATTTGTTTTGACTTAATATTTAATATAGTGATGATTAGTGGGCCTAAACACAGTATTTTACAAAAAAAAATATACATGCATATTTTATGCTATATTATGACGGACGAGGTTGTTTACTTCTTGCTTCAAAGCATACTTCGTTCGTAGGGCGGATCACTTGTTCTCTACAACGTGGTCTTTCTTCAGATGTTCTTCACCGACGCTCGATAGGGGCCGGCCGGCTCTACCCGATTTGGTGTTTTGAAGTTTTGTGACGACGTTGGTAAATGTGTTTGAATGAAATTAAAATTGTATTTGTTCTGTTGTGATGATTTATCCTACAATAAAATACAGGCTTAAGCATAGATGCTGTTTTGATTTTCATGATAAATGAATGCTAGTTTTAGGAGGAAATTGCTGCATGTATTTGACGTAGGCCTCATACACAGTACAACGTCGTCTTCAAGTGTGGTCATTCAAAAATGACGCGAGTCGAGTGAAAAGAGTACAAATATTTCTAGCTCATCACTTATATTCGAAAAGTTAATACAATGATTTAATAATTGTTGAATGATTGAAATACATACTACTGTACCAAGTTAAATTACTTTTATTAATAAAACAGTAAAATTATACATAAACACAAAAGTCAATCCTGCTTCGTGGTTCAATTTGAGTCCTAACTGTTTACAAGAGTAAAGTGGAACCAATTTGGGGATTCTCCATGTGCGTTTATTTGCCGTCCGATTCGATTTTGTGTTCTTCAATAATGGCTTTTAAAAGAATAGAAATTCCTGTTTTTACAAATACACTTTACAAATTTGGAAAGATTTTATTTTCGTAAACCACAAATTTATGGGTACAATTGCATACTGTCTGAAACCTGCTGAAACTCAAAATACAAAAACTGCCGACAACTGCAGAGGAGTGTCAAATTTATGCCGGCAATTTTTGCCATGGTCCTTCCGTACCAATTTCGAGGCCTGTATTATTAGTGAATATCACACAGTTTGTATATCAACATAATAACAACCAAAATAATAAATTCAGCTTTTATTTATAGTCGATAACATGAAAAACAACCAGGCATTTTACAATGTGACGTGATGATGATCACCGAATCCGCGCTTTGTTTACTATCAAAGGCGTAGGCCGTGTACAACACATCAAATTTCAGCTTTGTACGTTACATTGTAATGTAAAAAATTTGCAAAATAAGCTTTAATATCCAGACTGTATACTAATTTAGACGTAAACAGTGTATATTATTATTACTAAAAATTATTATTACTAAAATAATAACCATCGTATGCTGACAAGTGTTTGTGCTGTTACTCTGCTTAGGCCTAGTCCGTTGGGCCTAGAGTAGGACAGTATAGTGTAGTGCTCAAAATTCATTAGTGTTGCCCAATCGATTTTGTTTTTCTAACAAAGCCTTGTTTTCAATTCTTTCTTCTTCAAGTTCGCTTTTTAGTGGCTCAAATTGATAAAGCTGCTCTATTTCTTTGCTTCCTTTAGATCAGTACTTCCCAACTGAACGTCTTTCATATGTCACACTATACAATGTTTGCATTACATAGGTGAGCGAGATTGTGTTAGATTAAAAAAATGGCCAAACTGCGTCCGCTACAACACTTTCGAAGCGACCGGAAATAGATTTACGTCACATCCCAATTGGTTGTCAACATGCTAGGCCTGCGATTTCTGATCCTAGGCCTGGGTGGAGGTGGCATCGACGATCCTCCAACGGTCCCCGCCTGACATTTTTGGGCGATTGCCGATGTTCCCAATTCTGTGGTAAACCGGAAAGTTTAACGCATTTCTGTAACTTATATTGCATTTTCCCGTTCTATTTCGGAAAGCCACTGAAAATAAATAATCTATTTATCATATATCGTAAGTTCACCTTTATTTTCGAATCATAAGTTATAAAAATTTGCATTTTAAAATCTTCTGAGCGTAGGCCTAGGCGTCGGTACACCGCCGTACACGTACGTCGTTGTTTGTAGAAGTAATATTACTTTTAAACTTAATTATTATGTGATTTATTGTTGTTATATTAAAAGTGACTTTCAAGATTGCATAAATCGTAAATACCAGGCCATTCTTAATTCTATTTCAGCCAGGAAACGTGAAGTCACATTTTTCTCCCTTACTTTGTCCCTGGAGAGATGCTTGTATCTGATTGGCTTTCACACAAAAGAGGTCACAGCTCGCTGGCGACCCGCTTGCAAGCGGCTATTCACATGGATCGAGAGCGAGCTGCATCGAGAGCCGCTCAATAGCGGCTTGTCGTGGGTCACCCACGACAAAAACCGCTTTTGAGCGGTTGTTCACATGAAGGCCCGGCTCGCGAGCCAATCATTCGCTCGCGAGCGACCTAAGACATGTGAATGCGGTATTAGTCTATGTCATCAGCTCTACTCACACTTCAGTGAACATCTCCAGTGGATAGGGCTTATACTAATATTTTAAAAAGTCATTTTTAATATTTATAAACCAAAAATTAAATATTTTATTACCACTTCTTTGTTAAACATATGTAATACTTCAATAATCAGCAACTTAAAAAGCATCATTTTAATTGGACTGTCAAAACCTGTACCTATTCTTTGACTGTTTATCTATCTTCTATATTAATAAAATTAAATAGTTAGTTCAAGGCTGACAAATATATGCTAAAAATACATATCCTTACATACACACATACACAGTTAAGATAAATATAGTATAAAAGTGTACACAATATTTTTCAATAACAATTATATATCCAGCCAAAATAGTTGCATAACTATGTTACATACCCTTATTTTTCCACTTAATAAGCTTGCCGCTTTGGGGCCGACTTTGATGTAGCACACCGCATGATCAAGAGCTGTAAACTGCATGTCCTCACGCAAATATCCCTCAATAACAAGCTTGCGGAGAAACCTCTCACAATCGCTCTTTGAAAGATTTTTTCCAAGTCCGTGGATGCAGGATTTCTCATGCCCTACATTTACAACCTTCGCTGATACTGATCCTGTTGAGGAATGACAAGTAGAATGTAACAAAATATTATCGATCTAACACATTGACTCCCAAACCAAAGAGTATAACACTACAAGAGGTACGACTCTCATGGTTTTCGTTGGAACGTAATCCTAATTCAAAAAGTACTACGACAAAGGGGCATGTCCTTAAAAGAGCGAACTTTATTCAAATTCTAATAGGGCACCACCTATATCGTGGCAGTACTTTTTTTAATGTTCTATTGCTGCATACAAAATCAGGGCAGACGGACCTCTTGCAATTTTATACTCTTTGGCAAACCTTTTTTCATAGTTTTATCCCATACATCAAGGCATAAAGGGCACCACCACAATAAAAATCATTCCCATCAAATGTAATGAAACACGAACAAACATACGGTACTTATTTTTAGATCATTACTTCCAAGTTCTTTCCTGAACCTCCAGGGTGAGAGTTCACATTCTGGTGACAATTGTCAGCAAATTTACCTGTAAACCCTGTCGGACAGGAACTTGCATCCCTGGCAGCGAACGTGTTAACAAACCTTCTGCACTTGGATTTTAGATTTTTTAAAGAGTAAATATTTTTAGTCATGAGAAAAAATTCTGGTGTTACAGGATTTGAATACAGGACCCTGGGTATTCATCTAAACAACCAAGCTATATATATTTAATGCAGTATTGGTTTTTCTATTGTTTTGGAATTTATGTAGCTTACCTTTGTAAACCTCGATAAAATGTATCAGTGTGTACTGATTGCTGGCCCACCTGCCCCTTCGTCCCCCGGACTGCTCCAGCTGTTGCGCAAACTCTACAATCCCTTTTGCATGCTGAGTCATATCCTTCACCTGGTACTGAATCTAAAATAAAAAAGAAAAAAAAGAATTTACAGAAGAATTAAAAAATTGAAAATAAAACATTATAAAATTTGTTGTCATAGTTCAAACATTATTATTGTTTGCAATTTCAAAAGTTAGATTGAAAAAAGCAACAATGAAAAATGTTAAATGTAAATGAAAATACATAAAAAAAATCATTAATAATGTACTATAGTAATGACATACTTAGAAACACTTTATAACATGGTTTATAAAATATAATACAATGGAGAAGTTATCTTTTCATATTATCATTGGCTATATGAACCTAGTTGAATTTAAGGGCTGTCTACATTTAGGCTTACATGGGAATATCAACAAAAACAAAAATATATATGTGTGTATGTGTACACAATACAGCCAAGAATTTGCTCCACTCACAAAACTGACCTATGCCCTTACAAAGTTAAAGTAGATCAGATAGAGAAGTATTAGAGGGAAGTATAGTTTATAACATTTTGTAACAATTCATGTAAGCTCTTGCTCATTGTGGATGGTTGAATAAGATGCTGCACAATGCATAATACAATCTAACTTGAACAATAGATGGTAATACAATTAAAGCTACTGTACATTTACACTAGCCACGACACGACAACGACACGACCTATCATCACGTCGTTTATATTCTTCAACAGAGAGCGCATTCTGATCGTGTCGTCATTATCATGTCTAGTGTAAATGTAGCTTTAGATGATTAAGGAAAGACGGACCTTAGAAATAATGAAAGATAGGCAGTTGAGCCTCAGTAAATCCATAGCTAACAGGAGATTATTTAGGCTACCTATGCAGCATTATTGTCATAGCAAACTGTAAATGATGCCATAGTTTTCTTATTACAACACAAATAACAGTATTACATGCTCAAAATGTAGGATCTGAACACTTTAACAGAACAGATGCCAAATAGTCTACATAAAACATCTGATTTTTGCATAAATATTGTTACTTGAATTGTATACTAGAATTGCCACACACATCCTTGGTACCCAGTATCAAAATGTGTTTGTCATTGTATTTCAAGAACAGTTTAATTTTTATGAATTCCCGGATTATTATTAATGACTATGCATTTCCTCATTCTAAAATTGACACAACATTCAATAAAATAGTGTCCATGAAAATATGATGTTTTGGTTTTCCTACAGTAAGTTACCATGGGTAATATATAGTCTTCTGCTTGTTCTTATATTAAGTAATGATAAAAGCAGGCCTGAAGGCAGTTTTTGAAGCAATACAAAGAGGACATTAACATACTAACAAACTTTAATTTAACCACAAGCTCATATTCACACTGAAAGCAGTCAAAAGTTCACTGTGTGAACAGTAGCATGTTATTCAATTAAATTTTGCTTGTATGTAAAGTACAGTACACCTTAAATTTATATACTTAGCTTTAAGCCAGGTAGATTCTACAGAGATGGGTATTATATGTGCTATTTCAATTACGGGCTATTTCAATTTCTTTTATTGCTGCAAGTGCATCTTGGGCCAATATCTGCACAAAACACAATTAAACACCAAAAAAAACAACACAATAGTAACTATGCATATTGCGGTTGGGACGTCACTTGACCCGCATATTTCACCTTAAACAAACTATACATTTTGGGTAATGGTGTTATTCCACTATGGTAATAATGACCCACATACTCCAACCCTAAACGAACTATACATCCCAAAGTAGGGACGTTACTACACCAAGGCCCTAATGACGATGACAACCTGTTTGATAATACCAGTGAACATCAGCAGATGGCGCTGTGTTGTCAAGCACTAACACAAACTTGAGGTTGACTTGTTAGCTGCGATGTAGAGAGTGCCTAGAGTAACACGACCCAGATCATGTAACAAAAGCGCGATTTACAATTTATCTTTAGAATTCGAATATTTACGCGTGTTCATGCACGCTTGATAACTAAATTTGAATTACATAGAAATTATAACTGGAATGTTAAAGGTTCGTCCATTCTACGACTGAAAAGACCTGCCTTTCTTGTCAAAAAAGTTATGTTTTGCTCTTAACTTTAGTCAGGTACCCAACCCAACCCCAGGAAACATAATCTCTTTGTATGCAACCTGTGCGTGCAAGAACTGACAAAAGTACTGTATGTAAACTCAGGGGGGTCTCTGGTCGATGCTAAAAAAATAGTCAGTTGGGCAGGACGTAGTTCAGTTCCGTGTACAGGTGAGACTATCGTACTATTCAGTGATTTACAAATCAGTGACCAAATATTTTCCAGGCTTGAGAATTCCATAAAAAACATGTAATATTGTTCGCATTTAAATTAAATTGAAGGTATTAAGTAAATTTAATTCAAAATGTGGGAAATGGGCCATGCTGCCTCACACCATAATTATGCACCAAAATGGCAACGCTTATATTCACCATTTAGAATTTTGCGCAATATTCTTTAAATTTTGAGGACAACATTTTAATAAATCTTAACAAACTTCATTAACCACAATCAATTTATTCATCATCTTCGTATCGCCAAAGAGTATGGTATTGCAAAGATTGTCAGTGCGTGTACGACTAACAAATCATTATAATATGCGCAGCCGCAGACGCAGTGATCACTTATCAACCGCCATGGCTGCAACCAGCATTATGGATTTATGATATACTGTAGCAACCATTCTACTGTACAACCAGCAGTTCTAACTGTTAATCAACGACCAGTAGGCCTACCAGTGCTACGTACAGTTAGCACTATTCAGGCTAGAGAAGCATAGTGGTATTACAGTATATATACACTCCAGTACTTAGTAGATATAATAGAGACCACCAGGAACCAAAATTTGTCAGGACAGTCAGGACATTTTCTGACTGGTGCGAGAATCCATTGACATGTTTTAAAAGCATTATTATTTTGAGCAAAAATTTGTTAGTTTCTTATACACATCTAGATGTGTATAAGAGACAGAGGCTGGGCAGAAGGGCTTAAAAATGGCTTTAGGATGGGTGCAAGACGTCAAGACTGGGCAGCCCCACCATGGTTGGGGCTGAGGTAAGAAAATGTATGACTATGGCACCTCCAGATGGCCGGAAATGGCACTCTCAGACGTGATTAATTTGAATATGATTCTTTTTTTCTTCATTTTGATTTAATAGTTTTGAAAAATGTAAGAGGGTGCATTCCCCTGGATCTCGTAAATGAGTTTAATGACATTAAATTTTATTTTGTTGCATGTTTTTACACCCATTGCAGTGTTTTTCCAATTGAAACATATTTACTGGTAAATTTGTGCATAAAACTTCAGCTATGTACGCAGTGAAGGCATTGTCTCTTTTGAGTGAGGTTTAATGACTTGAAAAAACAACACATTATAGTCATAGCCAAGTTATAGACTGGAATGATGTTCATTTATTGAAAGAAGGCCAGCCTAGACTACCTAGGACCATCAGTGTTTATATAATTTTACAATCTCAAAATTTTTAGCTGGTTGGCCAGTTATTTTTACCGGTAAAAATGATGGCTAAAACGGTTTCGGGAGAACACTGCATCAGCACTTGCTTTAGTGAAAACATGCAAATATCATGAATTTGAGTGGGATATGGGAGATTTGTTAAATGGATATGCCACGTAGGAAAAGTGATTAAGTTCACTTATTTGGCATATCCTTGGCGCTCGTGCCTAAATAAATGAAATGAAATGAAAAAAAAAAAATTTCCAGAAGACTTGGGACCCCTGGATTAGATGAAAAGGATGTGAGGAAGGGGACAGGTATAGCGAGGAGTGGGGAAGAGAAACAATTATGTACATGCATACCTGCATATATTGCAGCATTTATTTAATTCCACTTTGTAAAGATTAAAATATATTAATTAATTAACCTTAATTTAATAACTATGGAATATTAAAAAAAAAAAGACAGGTAGGAAATATTAGGAAATTAAACCACTGCACTGTTTCAATGCAAATCAAAACCTAAAATTTGCACATTATTTACAGGTGTTTGAATGATGTTGGTATCTAAACCTACCTATAACTTTAGAGAAAAAGAATTAATAGGCATTGTGTGAAAGAAAAGGATAAAACCTGATGTACAGAACAGAAAATGCTTGTGTGTACTTTAATTCAGTTTGTATTCAGCCTTGCAAGGGCAAAGTTCATGTGCACACAGATTGTATTGAGGGCTACGGAAAGAGAAAATTAATAGATTTGGAAGATATGGAGATTACATGGCAAACATGGTGTAAAAGCGGTCAAAAGAAAATTAAAAACACAGAAATCGTATGATGAAGGTGATAGAGATAAGAAAGGATAAAGAGATTAAATGACGAAGATGGTGACAAATCAAGAGATGAGGAGAAGCGTGATAGAGATTGCAACATGAAGATGATGAGATCAAATTTCAGATTAATTACTGACTCAAAATAGCATCAATGTAATGCACACATCTATTATATCGTCAGTTTCTAATAGAATGGACAGATGCCAAATTAATTCATTTGAAAAAGACAAAAAAAACATAAATAGCCTACTTGTGATTCACAATTGCCACAGATGGTTTCTGGCTTGCTTCTGCACATGTCTCGTTTGTAATCATTCTCACCAAAGTACTGCAGTAGCTGCATTCTCCTGCAGTCTGTCTCATTCTCACAGTACTGTACCATACGGTACAAGTTGTCCAGGTGAGTTTTCTGGGCTTCCGGGTTAGCACACTGACCTGGTGATATTACAAAATTTTCCAAAATGGTCAAAATGCTTATATATTCTGGTATTACTTAAATATTCATTTAATGAATAATTGTTACACTAATTAATAACTGGAGCAAGTACATGAAATATAGCTCAGCTTTTTCAAAACAACTCTTCTTGATCTCAAATGAAATAACTACAGTGGAACCTTCTTTAGACTAACAAAATTTATTGGGTCACAAACCTTTGCTAGCTTGAGCTAGCTTCATCAAGTGAATGAAGTGAAAAACACAGGATCGAACTGTTCATTAAAATTATGTAAATGAACAATATAAACAAAATATAAACAAACAGAATGGCTCTGGAAGAGACCAGGGATAATCAAGCATCATGGATGGTAGGTCATATAAAGTGGTAAAAAATTACAGTACTATAAAAACAGCTGAGTGGAAAAAGAGGTAAGGGTAATATACTGGAAAAGTAACAAATAAATCATTTAACAGAGAACTATATAATAAAATTAGCATGATAATTGAGTATAATAGAATATGGTATAAAATAATATAGCATTTTAAAAGGCGATGGTAAATAATAGAACTATCCATCAACCATGATAACAGCAATGAGAGTAAACACAAATATGAAACACAGTCTCAGTGATATATCTAAGATAGGTATAAAAAAGAGCATGAAAAAGTTATTGCAAAGGAATAAACAGCTTAATAGTGCGAGAGGAATCCATGTTCTCGGTTCAGTCCCTGGTTTATACAGTTCATTTTTTGCTCTGCGATCATTCTATCAAATCTGCTTTCTTTTTCTGTAGCACTGTTTGAGATCGTGTATGCTACGTCCTGGGAGGTTAAAATGTAGTCCAACAAGTTTGTCTTGTTCATTACTTATATCAGACTTGTGCATTCATCTGTTTGCGTAGCGTTTGTCCTGTTTCTCCGATATATAGTGTTAGGACATTTGATATGTGCTCCTCAATACCTCAATAAGGAGCAAAGCGTGGACGGGTGGTGGCTTGTTTTAGTAGCTGTTTTAACAAAAAAAGATAGCTTAAATCATTGTTGGGTTAGGATAACAAGGCTGTATTCTGATTTTGGTGGCATCTTGTGTAAAATTTAATCATGTCTATAAATCAGCATATATAAATTATTAATAAAAATGTCTATTGTATCCAACAAGGTCAAATTTAACAATTCCTGCAATGTTGGTGATGCATGCCATGCTGCAGGAACAAAGGATCATACACTTGGTAACAATCATTGTTTACACACAAGTATTATGCAAAAAGCCATAATGTACACTATCAAAGGGTGTGTAGAAATCTAAGATCTAAGACCCCGAAAATCTAAGAACCTGAAAACAAGACCCCTAAATATGCTCGGATTTCTAGACAACAACCCTGAAAACAAGACCCCTAAATATGCTCGGATTTCTAGACAACAACCCTGAAAACAAGACCCCTAAATATGCTCGGATTTCAAGACAACAATACCTTTTCGAGAGCCAACTTTATTATACAGAACTGACTAGTCATGAAATCATCATTTATCATCTAGGCGTTTATTTCGTAATGAAAAACACCATTTTACTTTACCATGGAGCAAACAAAACAAACCAACCACTGTGTACAGACTATTTAACTCCACAATCTGAATAACTCAGAACTATTAAAGCCTACTGTAGTAGGCCTAAAGTTTGGATTTCATGTTTCATCAAGCGCCAAAGTTACAGTAGGTTGCCGCAGCTACTGACACTTAATGTAGGCCTAATAATAATACTATAACTATTGTAATACAGTATATTCAAATAAATGCTCCCCTCCTCGAAAAAAGGAGCCTCATTTAATCCTTTCCCAAGGCATTTTAAATTTTTTCTCCTCGTTCAAAATGACTGTAAACGAAAACTAATGGCGGCAACATCATTCTCAACACATTCTATTAATGTCGAGTAGAATTATATATTTTCTAACCTGGTTGGGATCAATAATCCTTTTTATTACGACCACATTTAACAAAAAATAACAACATTTATCTAACAACAATAATTTATTAATATTTAACAAAACAACATTTAGGGGCGTTTATTTGAGTATAAATGTATCCACTACACACCAAAAACAAATGCCTCCACCGAATAAATGCCTCTTTCGAATACACAACCCCTATAAAACCTTTCTCAAAAATAAATGCCTCCATCGAATAAATGCCTCTCTCGAATACACAACCCCTATAAAACCTTTCTCAAAAATAAATGCCTCCATCGAATAAATGCCTCTACACAACCCCTATAAAACCTTTCTCAAAAATAAATGCCTCCATCGAATAAATGCCTCTCTCAAATATGCAACCACTATAAACCCTTCTAAAAAATAAATGCCCCGGAATAAAACTATAAATACATGAAATAAATTTTGAGATTTGGGGGTTTCTTACATAAAGATGAATTGAATAGAATTTCTATCCTCCTCATAGGCACATTATCATTAACATTATCAACATCATATCTTTCATCATTGGATTACTATCCATTTTGAATAATGATTTTAGGCTTAGGCTAGTTTTTTGTTTTGGGTATTAATTTAACTTATTCTAAGTGAAATGCTATAAATTGTCATTGTTTCTTTAAATCAATAATGTACCAGTAGCCTAAAAAAAGAACGAAACAAATGTAAGTTTATGACGCTATTCAATTCAGGTGACATACAGTAGGTTAATTGGCAACAAAAAGACTGAGTGAAAAAAAAATTAGACCTACTTTATGAACACCGGTGTTTGATGTATTTGAATAGAAGATAGGCCTCTCACAAAAGTAGACTATATCAGATTCAATTTCATTTGTTCAATATGGAAAAAGCATTGAGTACATATTTCAGGTAATCGCTTTATAAAAGCATTAGTTCCATATAGATAAAATACACCTTAAAATGACTACGTGAAACAACTCCAGACAATACCATGATACAACTAGAAATGCTCCTTTTACACTGCGCAATAGCATAGACTCTCCGCGGTGTGATTTTTCTCTGAGAATTGATGAGTAGTAGTTTGAAATCAATCAGTCCTACAAAACTTTATATCATAGTAACAAACATTATAAGTCAATCGTGACATCATCACTGCAACTTCCAATGTTATTTGCCTATCCCCCATAGTTCAATAATTTTCCAATTATCCCCCATAATTTTCCAATTAGTGGACGCTTGGCTTGATTTTTTTAGATTCATGTGCAGAAAAAAATTTTTTTTGTCACCGCAAATATATCGCACACCGCAATAAAAATTGAATTGTAATTGAAAATTACTTTCGTAAAACAGGTTAATTAGAACCCAAAGAAAGTTACTTTAAATTCAATATTAAGTATGAACAATTAAGCAATTCCTTGAATCAATGAACCCTAATATACTAAACAAATGAACGTTTAATAGGAATATTCTAGACCTATTTTAAAGACTCAAGGAATGAAATTAGATGTAGGCCTACGGTAGGCAGCAGCCCGCTGAGGCCTCCTCCTACTAGCCTCGGCCGTATAGCCTAGCGTAGTTATGAAATCATCCCAAGATTTTTACCTGTCTGCACCGACCAAAAAGTTAGTGACAGTGACTGTATTCTCTCTCGATATTCATCATATCCGTACAGTACTGCTGATGTGTAGTTAACGAGTAGGCCTACTGCAGGAGCACAAATCAGCATACGCACAAAATATAAATACGCACACAGTATACTAATCATACCACTATATACTTGTTAAACATAGGCATACTGAATTAAATATCTTTTGAGAAGAAACTACCTCAATTGTAAATCTCTAGATCCGCCACTGCTGGGGGGGGGGGGTTTATTTGAATAAAAACAGTATTTGTATTTTTAACTTTTAATAGAACACAGTCTGTGACTGTAGGCTAAAATAGATGGAACTCCTTCCACTAGCATACCCTACGTTTTAACCTACGATCCACCACTGGCAGTGGTATACATGTATCATTACGAAGACAGTATTTGTTCAAACCAAGTGTTCCCAGAAACTTCTACAGAGTGAAGTGCAGCAGTATCACTCACTGGTGTGTTTAAAACATCGATGCCTGGCCTACTATGAAAGGGTTCGAAAACTTTACCGTCGTTAATTACGTGACTGCATCAAATGAAATTAATAAAGGTAGGCCTATTATTCAAGAAACTCATGACAGTATACACATTTTTCTTGCGTTGTTATCGGTTCACAACCTTTGAGTAGGGATGCCTAGACCTAGTAGGCCTAATCGTCATCTACAGTACTGCTGGCTAAACTGCACAGCCATTATTTCTCGGTTTTTCTTCATTCTTGGATGTTCAATGCCTTCTTCATCTAGTAGGTCTACAATTACTCTACTTCTTTGCCATTTGATAAAATTTTTATATGAATACAAGGATAGTAATAATGCAAAGAACTTGTATAGAACCATCCAAATCCTATGCATTACAATGGCCTTGCTAAACTTAGATGGAGCAACGCACCTGGCACGTCATCACAAATTTGGTTTATAGCATCTACGAACGAACCCGCACATGAAAATGAGATATTATGTACCTGAAATATGCTAAATCAAACTCCCCTTTAATTACTATGTGATATAAATTTGTTTCATCTGACCTGGCTACTTCTAGCCTAGGCTATATGATATAATATAATTGTCTCAATCTGATAGATAAAACTAAAACAGGTTAAAGCTACATTTACACTAGACACGATAGCTACACGACATCATCGCATCCTTTACATTCTTCAACACTGAGTGCATTTTTTATGGTGTCGTTATTGTGTCTAGTGTAAATGTAGATTTAGTCAGGGAATGCTATGCTATCATTGTCATTGATGGATATTCCGTTTTTTCCATAATGTGAATTAGAAACCACACTGTTCCCTGGAGTGCAAATAGTCTGTACACGATGGTTTATTAAGATTTATCTTTTTTGGTTCCTCTATGGGGTCTTAGTTTTCGAGGTCACCCAGGTGATCTCCTATCTCTTTTTTTAACTAATGATACCGTAAAACCTCGAATTGAAGCCCAGGGGGCTTAATCTCGATATGAAGCCCATCTCAAATTCAAGCCCCCTCTTTAGTTTGCAAAATTAGCCTCGAAACGAACCCCCATCTCGAAAAGAAGCCCATGGGCTATTTTTTAAGATAGCATCTATAGTCTTCTTTTCGAGATAATACAGTACATACACTGCAGTGTTCTCCCCAGGATGAGGGTTAAGCATCATGGTACCTGGCCCACCCTCCCCACATGGTTGGGGAAACTTTTTTTTAAATAATGACCACTATCAGACATCAAAAATGCTTTTTAAGATTTTTGAATGACTATAGATTTCCATTTTTTAACAAATTTTTTTGTTAAATTAGTGACCATATACTGTACTACTATTATAGCCTAGCCAGAATTGCCACAGGATGGCAATTTTGGACTGACCTAGTTTAGGCCCAGGCCTAAATTTTAGCTTCAAAGTGCTTGGCCTAGGCTAGGCCTAGCTAGATAGCTAAACAAAACATCGGCCACGTAGGCTGCCTAGATTGACTAACACTTATCTAAACTTACTTGTTTTCATTGTAAAGTAGTATTATCATATTGAAAACGTTGTTTATTATAAAAAAAAACAAAAAACAACCAAATTTAACATAGGGCCTATTGCCTAATTGTTTAAACACAAACACGATCGCATTGTGACTTCGCAAATTTAATGCCAGTTGAATACTCTCCATGATACAGACTGATGTTGCAGTGGCCTTATTTATTGTTTTATATTACAAATTCACAAATTTTACAGCATTCATTTTGAAAAGAAGGCCCCCCTCTTTACTTTGCCTCGAAAAGAAGCCATCTCGAAAAAAGCCCATCAAAAGTTCACAGAAAAAGAAGACCAGGGCTTCAATTTCAGGTTTTACTGAAATTTTACAATTAGAGTGTGTGCATTTCATGTGATAAAACCTCACTTTAATATCTGTTGCATCCAACTGAAACACAAATTATAATAAAATAATAATAAAATCTTTCTTTTACAATGGAAGCTCATTCACCAAGGTGGTGTTCTTCATGAGGCCATATATGTACCTTTTACATATCATGAAAACTACTGTATGTACAACTAAACAAGAACTACTTCAAAAACACAAACTAAAAGCAAAATAGAATATTTAAAACACATTATGTTTTTATAGCTTCTGTACCAACAGCAATTCAAAAACCTGAAAAAATACTGCTTTCTTAAAATGGCAAAGTGATGAAAGAAACTTATAATTCTTTTTTTCTCCTGTTTATCCCCTGAATAGAGGTTGGCCACAGTAATAAAAGATACACTTTCCCTTGTTTCGTGGCTGAGAAAGTGTTCCCTTAATAGGTGTGTCCAAAATGAGGAGTGCTACAGTAATAATAATTATAATAACTGTCTGAGTATATGAAAACACAATATCACCATTACCTTCAATAAGTTTACGCATACGGACTACGTCCTTGTACATGTAGAACAAGACGCAATGAGCAGTTTTACCATCACGGCCAGCCCGACCAGACTCCTGATAATAGCCCTCAACAGACTTTGGTAAGGAGTAGTGGATAACGAATCTTACATCAGGTTTATCAATCCCCATACCAAAAGCAATGGTTGCACACACAACCTGTTGGAAAAGGAAACATAATAGATTAAACAATCCAAATTTTAAAAAAATGAATACGGACCAATGACTAAGGATTTCTTAAAATGGCCCAATAAAGTTTTATCTTAATATGTCCTGTCCAGACTATCAAATTATATTTGACAAAAGACTTTTGTATGCCCATATATAGTCATGATGTAATGTCATCATGACCATATTTAGACATGTCAAAAGTTTTTTTCGCATAAAACTTGATAGTCTGGACATGGCTATACGGTATCTAAATCATAGGTTTAAACTTTATAAAATTATATTTGATGAAAATTGTCACTACATTAGAACAAACTTCATTGGTTCACGTGCTAAATAACACATGTAGTGAAACAAACCTTTTACTAGTCTATAGCCCCCTCTATAGTGCCATAACTAATAACAAATCTCTACTTCCTACCTTAACTTTATCATTCAGCCAATCTTCATGGACCTTTGTTCTTACTGTGTCAGACTGACCAGCATGGTATGGCCGACTACCGACACCGCCATCTGTAAGGTCGCGTGCTACTTTCTCACACTCATTTCTAATAGGAAGAAGGATTAATATTTACGTTTTCAGATGGAAAAAAGTTATAATGTACTGAATTAGTGTTTGGGAAGAAGGTTTGTATGGAATTTCATTTAAATACATATACATACATAAAGAATTGATACATTCTTCTTTTTGTAATCCATACTTTGTGCATTCATATGCCATGCTATGACACAATTTTGATTTGATTTGATTTGATTTATTACCATAAATACCATACATGAAACATACAATATAAACCATTTGAGAAAGACATGAACATTAAACCTCTAAATGCCCAGAAGGGGATTTAACATCCTTATCTTAATAGATTCGAAAAATATAAAGAATTTGCTGAAGTAGACCAGACACAACTAGGCTAGGCCGAGCTTAGTAGGCCAAGCCGTCCAAGCTGTAACGGTAAAAGTGGAAGTCCTAAATAATTGTTGGCCGTCCAAAAGATGGCCGGACGGCTTGCTGGCTAAGCCCTTGGTGCATCATGTGAGTTTAGGGAAACGAAATACAATGTGACTGACCTTGATAGACAATAAACAATTCCGGACATCCTTGAAAACTGCTTCTTAATAATTTGCAAAACTTCTTGTGTGGCTGTACTTGGCTTTTTCTTCACTAAAGTGTACCTCAGATTAGATCGGTCAAAGCTTTGAGTAAACCTGGAAACAAAACACCACAAAGAATATATTTCAAATCATATCATATATCATTTTCAGAAAAAAAAAAACCAGATAATCATGTACAACATAAAAACCAGAAAATATAATAGGAAGCCTAGTGAAAGGCTTTAATGGCAAAATTGCCGAAGTACAAAATACCTGTAAATTATGGACTCAGTATAGCTCAGTAACAAACATATATTCATAAATAAATAATAAACAGATATTCACAAATAATAAAAATCTAAATATAAAAGGTAACATTACCATAAGTTTAGCTATAAAATTTTTAAGATTAAAAACAAGTTCGTCGCTCAGACAAGGTCATGTGATGCTAATTTCTGATTGTGTCTATTCAAATAAACAATTAATTTTTTTCCTACCATTGTGGATTTTTCATTTGAAGTTGTCGGAGAATATCAGCCCTAACCCTAGGAGTGGCTGTGGCAGTAAGTCCCATCATTGGCACGCCGGGATACTTGCTGCGTAGGTTGCACAGTCGTTTGTAATCCGGTCGAAAATCATGACCCCACTATAAATAGAGATTGAGGTAAAAGCTGTCTCTTATACACATCTAGATGTGTATAAGAGACAGGACCAGACTCCTGATAATAGTGTTGCAATAGGTACTATTTTTGGCAATGAATTTGGTGTGTGTTATTTTTTGATATATTTTTAATTTTATTTTTTGTATTGCAATGACGTGATTTTTTTTTTTCCAAATATGACTATTAAAAATCAGCTTACCTTCTTGGCCTGGATGGAAGGATTACCTTATTTCCATACAGTTTAAACAACAATAAAATAATACAAAAGAGTTCACACTAGGATGATGATTAAAAATGAACTAATTAATAAAATATGAATGAACAAAATGGAGTATGCATAAAGCACAAGCCCATAGTCAGGGAGGTTCAAAGGGTTAAAAATGCCAGAAATGCCCTTTTAAATCATTATTAAAAAGCACCATTTGCATGGAAGTAATTGAAATAAATAATATGTCGTTCTTATATAGCGCTTCATGCCTTTACAAGGCCTCTAAGCGCTTCACATTACTACCCCGGTAATTGGATCAAATACATATGGAACACATTGAAACACCAAATTAAATTAGTAAATGAAATTATATTATCATTCCATAAATTGCAGCTAGTAATCAGCGCAGGTTGTGTTGGAACCTACCATGTACCCACTTGTACCCCTGGGTGGAGAGAGGCAACCGTAGATAAAGTGCCTTGCCCAAGGACACAAGCGATATGCACGAACCCCCGACCTCAAGGTTGGGAGTCCAAGCCACAACCGGTGCACCAACCGCTCAATTAACTCCAAATATTTGCAATTTGGCATTTTTAGTGCCATTTCCGGACATTTGAGGTGTTACATCTGAAAAATTTATCCCAACCATGTTAGGCCTGAGGTGGGTGTTGACTCATAGCGACTTTTTGCGAAAAATTAGAAACATCCCCCACCCCTTTATAGGAACCCTACCTAGAGGCTTGAAGTGCAAGAGCTCTTGGTGGGTATGTATTATAAAACTTGAATAATAAAAACACTATACTGAACTGACCTGGCTAACACAGTGAACCTCATCGATGACAAACCTGGCAAGCATTCCGCGTTGATATAAATTGTCAAATGTTGACAACAACTTGTTACTGTTACTTATCTGACCAAAAAACAAAGGAAGATCAATTAAAAATTAAATAATGTCTCCCAATGAAAAATAAACAAAATTCTACTAATAAACTTGAAAATATAATTATAAATTTAAATTCTTTAGTTTTATAATACATATTTCATGACAGACAGATACACTGTTTAATACCTTTTCGGGGGTGACGTAAAGAAGTTTCAGGATGGGCTCCCTCAGGGACAACTCTCTATAAACATTATCCATAGCAGATAAACTCAGCTCCCCTGACAGGTGCGTAGCAGGTATCCCCAGGGACACCAACCTCTGTACTTGGTCCTGGATCAGAGACTTTAGAGGTGATACTACGATTGTCACACCTGCACTGATGACTCCAGGTAACTGGTACGTTAGACTTTTACCTCCACCTGTAAGGGAAACATAAAATCCTGCTTTTCAAAAATGGGCACCTATATCTCTATTCTAGGGATCAAAACAGCTTCCCTATTGGAGCATCTGTTTTCCTGTAAATTATCTTCGGAAGAGTGACAGTCAATAACTAATAATAGTTACATTGTATGGCACGTTTCAAACTGTATGATGACAGGACCTATATTCTAAGTTACATATTCAACCCTACATTAGGTAGTATTCACCCTGTAGTGGCCAGATTTCCTGACGGATCATTGCTGTGCAATGACAACAGCCAATCTGCCAATGTTAGAAACAGATTTTGCCCATTTGCAGTTTGACTACAAGTAAATAATAGTCTAAAAAGTACATTAATTAATTTATAAGTCAATCATGAAATCCCCAAATTTACTTCCAATGTCATTTTCCTATCTTGAAACTGTAAACATACAATAATTTTTATTCATGACGAAATCACTTTTCACAATTAAGTTTACAGAGAATCACATGATGTTGAGTATTGTAATTAAATTCCTATAATTAGAGAGAAAATAAAATTTTCACTAACCTGTTGGCATAAGGACAAAGCAATCTTCCCCCATGAGGGCAGCATTCACTGCCTCCAACTGGTTGCACCTGAACTCATGGAGTCCAAACACTTTGTGAAAGACCTTCATCATTTCATTTGAATGCGGGAAGTTAAAACCACTGTATTTGCCGACCTTCTTGGCAGAGTTGGAATTTGAAGTTGGATTTGCCGGCTTATTTATGTGACTTGATACTGCAGTTTTGGGTTTGGCTGTGTATGAAAGAAACAATATAACATTTAATAAGAATAGGATAACATTGTTATATAATATTTCAGTACCACAACACCTCAAATTTCACTGTCTAGTCCTTAAAATCCTTTTGCAAGTTCTTTTTTAGTGGAAACGTAAAACAAACATAAAATTTGATACAGGCTATGAGCATCAATTTGCGCAGTCAAAGGCATTCAATGAATGACTACAAATTGAATGTTTTATGTATTTCATTTCATTTCATTTATTTCTCTGACATACAAAAATAAAACTTAAAATTAGACTTATTCACTTCATGTTTTGGTACAACAAACTACAGTTCACAAGTGTACAGTCTGGTCAACAAACAGAATTCCTCTCCACTAATAAATAATGATATACTGTATTGTATACTGTATAATGAACTGGAATTTATAGTAGTTCTGGTTTACTCATTAAATGGATAAATAAATCAATGAATTGTGTATGATTGGATTTCTTGAGATATTTCTTAAATTATGTGTATCATAAGATCATTGAAAAAATTCATCTGGAACCAATATTAATTATTGGGTTGAGTTGTTCTTTTTTGATGATCCAATTAATATTAGGAAAAACACCACAGTTCGCTTGAGAGTGAATGAAATAAAAATGCTAATAGAGTATCAGCGAAATGTTGTGTGAGTATGTTTTTCTTAACATCTTTTAAAAATATTAATTGGATCATCAAAAAAGAACTCAACCGAATATGTGTATCATGTTTTTTAAGATATGCTTTCAAATATTTTATAGACATTTATTTTGAAACATCTTGGAATGCATCTTGATTTTACTACTACTGTACTTTTAGGTCTCCATTTTACAAGCTCATTGGAGTTTCATAAATGTGCTTTTCATCATTATCCTATTTTTAACATTTAGAAAGTTTTATTTGCAATTTGACATTGTTTTGATGGTGAATAAAAAGAATTGAATTGAATTGAATGAAGTTTTAATATACTGCAACATCTAAGGTGAAAACTGTGGATCTTTTGAGAAAAAAAAATGTAATCTGATATGCAAGAATTTGTATTAACAAATTTTTAAAACTACTCCACTCCAAAGACATCATGAATGAATTTGCATACCTAGCACCATTGCAAGAGTGACTAACATTTAGGCCTAGTTAAATATCACCAATTAATAAGTATTCAAACAATTCATCACTTACTATTATTACTTGTCAGTTTGTTTGGCAAAGATTTTTCAGATAGCTTGTTGGCTGACAAGCTGAACCCAGAATTCCAGTTATTCTGACCAACTGACTGAGGTGCTGGACTGCGATCTGTTTCAAAACTATTCTCAAATTTAAAACCTGAAGACTTCCTCTGAACAAAGCTGTTTAAATTCTGTGCAAGTCCTGAGGTTGTTGCCATTGAAACCTTATTTATACCTATTGGTGTTGATACATCACCTGCAGTAAAGTTGCATCTATCATTATTTGACACTGTTTCTCCAAAGGATTTGGAATATGTGTTAGCACTGTTTGAAAAGTCATAACACCTGGAAGAACTTGGATCAGATGAGAAACCAGAGGGCACTACATTTGACCCCTTTGCCATGGATTTTTTGAATTTGAATCCAGATGATACAACAACTTTATCTGTATTTGTCCTAGATGATGGTGTTGGTTCATCCACTTTTGCATCAAACTGGCAATTTGGGCTATTTAAATGCATACCTATTGGTGGTATGGAAGGTGTGGCAACAGCAGTCCTCGAATGATTTGTTCTTGGTGTAGATGTGCACCTGGTTGGTTGATTGCAGCTTAAATTCTCCCTCCTGTTACCACCTACATTTTCTGTTGATGTTTTTGTTTGACAGTCAGTCTTAAAATCTGATATGTCTTCATTTGGTACACTATTAAATTCCTCATTTTCTGGAATGGATGTAATTCCTTGTTGTTCAACCTTTGTCCTAGGAAGGAATTCCAATTGATTTTCTGCCCGTTTAATTGCTGCTTTTATTCTTTTTCTGTAAAAAATAATGTCCAAATAAATAAAATTATCTTGCATATAAAAAAAATATGTATTACAGTATTGTTTTCTATAAAATTGGCACTGGTAGCAGTATACACCTATGTACATATTTTTGAAATTGTAGAGATTGGCCAAATAAAGAATGAAAATAAATGAGTTGGCGATTGTAAATCTATTTTGCCAGTCCAGCATAACCCTATAAAACATTTGTTGCACCATGTAGCACTCCCCTGTAGATTACCTAAAGATAACAGCTTTTCTCACACTGTCTGACACAGTATTTGATTTCTCAATTATGCTGCAGACTCTGTCCATCACATCTATCAGGAGACCTTTTAGACCATCTATTCTGAGACTCAGTAAGTCACTTGTTATCTGAAAAAACAAATAATTTTAATACAAAAGGCAAGTTACTACAGTAAAACGTCCATTTTACGAACGTCCATATTACGAATAGTCGATCTTACAAATGGTTTTTGCCCCTGATGACTTCATTATTGACTAATTATTACCATAAAAAAGTCTGATTGCGCACGTTTTACAAAGTGATAATGTATATTTTTCTCAATAAAATCAAGTTTATTTTATTTACTTACTTATTAATAAGTTTGATCTTTTCTTCCATTTCTGGTATAATAAACACTATATTAAAGTAAATAAACCTAACCAGAACAACAAACTACCAACGCAAGTGTCGTCAAATTGAGCGCACATGTTTATGATGACAATCGAACAAACTGTTGGGGTCAACAGCTTATTGACATCACAAATGCCAGATGCAAAATGCATGTAAACAACACAATTCGGCCATCTAACAACTAGAAAGAACACAATAGAAAGATCCATAAAACATACGGTGTTAAAATAATAGTTTGTTATTGGAAGAATTCCAGCATTTAAAATAATTGGGTTTTTATCGAAGGTAAATTTAGCTAGACTCTAGCACGGTAGGCCACGATGCTGCACTGTCAGTTCGTGCTAGGCCTGGCCTCCATCAGCCAATCGGCGCTCAATGGCAGGGTATAGCAGGCCTAGATATTGGAAACTACACCCAATCTAGTTTACAAATTTTTCAATTTACGAACACCCATTGTTACCAAGGGGTACGTATTGGACCTCTTACTGTAATTATGATGACCAATAGACCCACCTCCACGCTGGTCACCATGTCATAGACCAGGTTCTTTTACATCAAACAACCTTTATTGAGTGTAAATTCTTAAGGCCAACTCAGACAGCGTCGGCCGACGCAGCCCGACCCGATTTATCGTCGGGGACAGTCTTAAGCCGTCGTGAGAAATATTAAACATATTTAATATTCTACTACGCGACTGCCCTCGACGCACACCTTCGCGTCTGCATTTAACTCACACAGACCGGGCTGCGTCGTACAACGCTGTCTGAGTTGGCCTTTAGATCAATCACTGTTTAATCTACAATATTCCCAATGGACCTTTCTGCTAAGTCTGCCCTTGGCTACTTTTGCTAAGGTCCCACAAAATGACAGTGTAAAAGTGCGTATTCTTGGCCCTATTCTAATTGGTCAGTTAAGTTGGACACTCCGGTAAGTTCCATTAAAAGAAACAGAACATGGTGAACATGTGAAAAATTTACTTACACTCAAAGGAAGTGGTGAAAGAAATGGGTGCGCGCTAATACTCTGTAGGTCAATGTCATCTTCTTTACTTGTTGCTGATACATTCTCATTGATGCAGGAATTAACGTTTTGATGATTTTTAACGTCCTGATGAATTGTGGGTTTAGAGCCAATTTTGCAGATATCATGACTAATAATCGGTGGTGATGATGGTGGCAAAATTGTCATGTACTCATCAACATCATCAGGTGAAGGGGAAGGAGGAGGGGGATCTATGAATTCATAATCTTGATAAAAGTCCTCTTCGTTCAATTCATCATCATTTGGGTTATTTGTCTCTGTTTGGTTGTCTGCCTTTTCTTGCTGTTCATTTTCACTTTCACTGTCACTGTCGAGACCTTTTGGTCGTCGAATACTTCTCTCTAAAATAAACCACAATATGCAAATAATGAAATAATCACTATAAACACTGGAAATATTTTTAGTATTATTATAGTGTTGTAGTGTCATTGATAATTCTAGCCTAGATTGGATGACAACATTGATTTATAAATATTTGATCAGTTTTGATATCTGTCTCATTGAAAAATATCAAAACAATTTAGCACACCATTGGTCCAGTTTTACGGGCTGCAAGAATAGTTAATTTTATATACCTCATACATAAATTCAAGGCATCTGATTGGTTAAGAAGTGGGGCAATAAGTACTATTCCCCTCAAAAAATACTATTTCCCTAAAAAATAGTACTTTTTTGACCTGTCGCGATGTACAAACTCTAGGCCCACTACATCGCCTGCTGACGGTAAAGGGGATTGCGACCTCTACCAAATGATTATCCCCTGACCGCGTTACGGATCAGCGAGTAGACGATAAATAAGTATGGAGGCTGCTCGTTTCGAGATGAAGGAGGACTAGCCTAGGCCTAGCATTACTTCTTGATCAAGCCGATAGCAAAAGCACCAAAAGACAAATTAAATATGTCATCAATATTCAACAAATATATTGCAAGACGATGGGTGCTGTTAAAAGTGAGGAAAAAAAGCAAAGAAGAGCCTCTAATATAACAGGCTAGGAAGTAAGTACTTTTTTAGGCCTCGGAGAATCTATGTATGAGGTACATAAAACAAATATTGACTGCTCTATATTCGGGGAACAGTGAAATCTATAGCCCCTTGGAGATGTGGAGACCGTAGCCTATCTTCCCTCGGGCCGAAGCGGGAAAATAGACTACAGTCTCCACATCACCGAGGGGCAATAGATTTTACTGTTCCCCGCATGAGCAGTCAATAATTGTATACTATGTTAGAGCCTTTAAAGCAAGATGGCTATGGCCCCGTTCTTTTTTTTTTTTCTGGTTTTTAACACATTCTGAGTCTCTTTGTTTAAAGTCACAGACTATACAGGGCCTGGAACTTTAGATATCGGGCTAGAGAATAAGGAGTTTTCGATTTGCACGTCCACTATGTCAACTGACAACCTATGACATAGTTTGGATGACTTGCGCATGCGTCAAGTCGACTAACACGACGACTGCCAAATTTGAGAACGTGTTCAGCAGCGTTTTGACGTTCGCTCTCTGACTGAGATAACAAGTATGACATCATATCACTGCAAACCTTTGATTCATGATGGAGGACGATGTCGCGGTGCTTCTTAATTTGGCAAAATTATCTTCTACTGGGGATGTAGTTAATAGCATTTCGGTTAAGTTATGTCCTATTTGCAAACTATAGAATTATCCATTATTGTGGATAATTAGGTAATTAATTAATCAGCCTATTAGCTAGGCCTAGGGAGCCTAAGCCTAGACTAGGCTAGGAGAGGCCGCCAACCTTCAGTCAGGCCGGGCGTATCCAGGAAAAAGGAAATAATTTTTCAGTGATCTGTTAAAAAAAAAAAAAAACCTATATTGAACAAAGAAGGAGAGGTGCACCCTCAACAGGAAGATTTATGTTTTTACAACTCCCTGCCCTGAATACCCCATGGATATACCATTTATAAGGGATTCGCGAAGCCGATGAAGATTTGCCATGTTGAGCTGCGTAGACTACATACAGTACCTGAGTGTTGAGTAAGATACCACGGCCAGTGTATTCGAATAGCACGCGCGAACACGGGGAAACCCCAGATCACAAGGTCATAAGTTCACTGACGTGTCAACATGGACGTTCACTTAAATTGAAACGTTCAGATAACCAGTGGACAAGTACCAGTCGACTGCTCGGATTTTCCACTCACGTAGACGTGAAAGCCGTCCACGTCCACTCAAATCGAAAAGTCCTTATTGGTTATAGGGACTACAGTGAACTTATATTTATTTACTCACTCAAGCATTCACCTATATTGAATAACTTACTATTTGTTTTTTTCGTAGAAGGAATGTAGGTAGGTGGTATCATCTCATTACTATCTTCATTAATTGTCAAATCTACAGAATCACACTCTACCTGAATTTTGAAAGACAAGAAGCAAAGTTTCTATGAGTGTTGTTATATTTATAAAACACTAGAGCTGCAGTGAATTAAGTATGCAAATTCAAGGTCATGAACAATTTATTGATTTAAAAATCTACTTTGCAATCACTTATGCTAGACACAGCATTTAAGAGCATATCTTCTATGTCTTTCTTTATTTATATTTCAGGAGGAAGTCTTACTCAGAGAAGCTGATTTTCAGGGGAGCCCTCATAAACCAAGAACCATCACTATATCGAGCAACCTTGTTAATGTAATTGAGAAAACTTTTGTTTTGTTCATTGATGACCAACATGTGAGGCGAATTTTCCAATTTAACAAGTTTTTTGGTTTTGGTCTGGGGGTTAGGTGCAAGAACTATGAATGCAGAATAAATTCCAGTGAAACCTCAATGATTCATATCATATCATAATATTTGTATAAGTCACTTTGCTGAACTAATTTTCTGCTGCTGGGTGTATACTGCTATCAGGCACGTCGGAAGCTATTTTTATTGGTCCGGCCAAATATACACAATCATCATCGCATTAATATGACTTCATTTTATTAATTTTGTCTCTGCAGCTAAAAACACGCACTATTCTATTACGTCAATCATTTATACTTGTACTAAATATATCAAAACCATTCATGTTTTATCATTTATATTTGTCACCATGGGATTTCATAAATATTAACGTACGTACAAGTAATTGTGGTTAAACATTGCTTTAACAGTAGAATTATATTTTAAAAATGATGTTTTACAATACGGCCTGCTTAGTATGTTGCAAAAATACTCAAAAAAAAAAAAATTGACACATGTTCGTCTCGAACCAGGGCCAAAGCTTAGCTACGGGTTGTACGCATGTATATTAGGCGGTCTAGGCCATGTCATAGTAGGGATTTTTTTAATGAAAAAAGTGGAAATTGATTATTTTAATTGATTAATAAGTATATGATATATCTATCAGTTATAATAAGTATCTAATCAAAATTGCTGATTTTCCCTGGCGTTTGTCCTACCACCCTGACTGGAGTGGTTGTAGGGCCTGAGTTGAACCACTGTAGAAACGTACAATACCTTATTCTAATATTGACCCTCCACCCAAAGTTGATTCCCCTTAAATTCTCATTGCTCTATTGAGTACTTATCACCTGGTAGATCTGTTAGTATGATGTGAATACCTACATACTGCAGGCCTACATGGTCCTCCTGCCATTAATAAACCAAGTTTTTTAGATAATAATACTAAATAATATACCAGCAGTCTGTTATTTGAAAATTTAACATATTCACATGGCTTAATTTAAAAGACATATAATGGGCTTACTAAATAATGTATAGCATATTGTACCCTGTGTATTCATAACACATGTTTAATTTAATTATGGTAGGCCTCATTTTTCAAATGTATTTCAAAATATCATCAACTCGTGTAAATATAATATGCGCACATTCCTTGTTTCTTGCACTTTATTTATTCATATAGGAATAAACATACTGTACCCTGTGTATACATAACACATGTTTTATTTAATTAGCATATACTGTCATCATCTTATAGCATGTGGTTGGGGCTGAGGTGCGAACTTTTTGAGAATATGAACCTCTAGGTGCCCAGAAATTGCACTCTCATACCGTTAAAAATTTGACCGGTAATTCATATCAACAATAAACAAATATTTTTCCTAATACAATTTGAGGGATGCAATCGCCCCATCTGCACCCACCCAACCACCCACATCCGCCCAGCTGCATTTATATCAATTGTATCTGCTAAGTTCGCCCAAAATCAAATTATATTTATTTATTTCTTTTTATCGAACAATAGGTGCACAGAGCAGCTGGTCAGTGAGGCTGACATAGACTTGAAAATAGTACATGCTCAAAATGTTCTATAAGGATGATTATGAATAATCCACGAAATTTCACCAAACTATCCTACATTTAAAAAATTGCCGGCTGCGTGGATGTGGGGATGGGTTGGGGGTGTGCAGACGGTGCGATTGCATCCCCTAAATTGTATTAGGAAAAATATTTGTTATATTGTTATGAAATACGGGATACATGTGGATGCATTTTATAGCAAAATGCTAGGTTTTTATAGTTTTAATCTTTACTGTTTCCGAGGTACACATAATAAATTTTAAACAGTTTTAAACAGTGATTTTTATTTTAAGACTTTCTACTACTTTACTATTTTAACTTGTTAATATCTTAACGTATTTCTCGTCATTGCCAAGTTGTTTTGTTTTGTGATTTTTCATGTATTTTTATCCTTTTTAACAAAAGGAAAAACAAATTCCTACTTTAAAATGGACAATAAAGTGAATCTATCGTTTTCGCAATACACTGTATTGCATATTATTTAAAAAACTAATTGTGATTGGTCATTATTTTTCTAGATATAGCATTCTTAACCTGTGTGATGACTGTACTCCCGAAAAAGGGCCCATCGGCACCTAGCTTCGCCACTGGGAAAATGCAGTGACAGATTTGCGGGAGGCGGGAGGAAAAAAATACAAAAGAGAAAAAAAAAAGAAAATTGTAAAAAAGTCTGAGAGTGCTATTTCAACCAATCTAGAGGTGCCATAATCATAAAATTTTTCCCTCATTCCAAATTATGGTGGGCTCAAGTTATCCTTATAGAACATATTTTGCGCATGCCCTATTTTCAAGTCTGTGTCAGCCTCAATGATCAGCTGCTCTGTGCATTACAAGGGACCCAATGTTCTATTTACGAAAAAAAAAAAATGAAATTAGATTTTAGGCAAAATTCACTGAATTATTTCTTATCAGTTTTAATTATTTATTAAATTCTTGCATTTGGTGCAGTAATATACATACCAGATGATAAACTTAATATTAGAAACAGAATGGCTACAGTACCTCTTTTATTGAGAAATAAAACAAAATAAAATAAAATTTCCCACCAGACGCCATCCCGGTATTTCTGAGTCTAGATTTCCGGCCGGAATATGATTTACGTGGTGAACCATATCATGATAAATAGGCCTAAGCTATTGATACTTAACTACAGTACAATAAAAAATCAAATAATTTTAAATTTGTTCCATATTTTTAAAAAGCTGAATGTGTTTGATTGCATTGGAGAAAGTAGAATTTGGCTTAAAAATGATATTGAGTTGTAAATTATTGGTCCGGCCAAAACCGGACCGCTTCCGACGCCCTTGGCTATACTGCTATAAAAAAAAAATAGGGTAGGTGAGCTAGAAAATCTACTTTTTCTTAAAAATAAAACGCAATGATTTTTTAAAATAAATTTTAATTTTCAACATATTAAAGATAAAAACAACAATCCACTTACTTTATTTGATATAATTGCCTTCTTTGGTGAAACCTTTGGTAATGTAGTTTCTTAGAAAGAAAGGAATAAGAATAATAATTGCACTTAAGGAACTGATAATTTAATGAAAACATTACAAGTGTTAAAAAAATTTATCAATTTACCTTGAAAACTAAAATCAAAATTGTCAAAATCATCTTCATTAAAAAAATCTCCTAAAAACATACTGTCAGGAAAGCCTATATCAGCATTATTGGTCCTTTCCTTTTGTAATTCATTGTTTGGTATGCTGTAAGGCAAGAATACAACCTGTCTCTTATACACATCTAGATGTGTATAAGAGACAGGTTTTAAACAGTGATTTTTATTTTGACTTTTTACTACTTTGCTATTTAAATTGTTAATATCTTAACGTATTTCTCTTCATTGCCAAGTTGTTTTGTCGTGTGATTTTTCATGTAATTATATCCTTCTTAACCAAGACTGTTGCAAAGGAAAAACAAATTCATATTTTAAAATGGACAATAAAGTGTTCTTTAATCTAGAATCTTTTTTTAGGTATTTCACAACATCTGTCAACTTGTATAAATATAATAGACTTATAGTCATTGTTATTCATATTGCATTATATAATGTGTTCGTGTTTCTTGCACTTTATTTATTCATTTATTGAGGAATAAGCATCTTATTTCATATAATTACGGAATTGATAAGAAATTTTGAACAATTTATTTATATAATTTTTGCAATACACTGTGTTTCATATTATTTTAAAAATTAATTGTGATTTGGTCATTATTTTTCTAGATATAGCATTCTTAAACTGTATATATATATATATATATATATATATATATGTATGTATATATATATATATATATATACATGCATGCATACATATATATATATATAACTCACATATTTAACTCACAACATTTGTTGATGATGATCATGACACATCATTACCATCATCAACCTTTTTTTAGGGTGGCCAAGAATCCGCTCTTGTTTTGCCATCCTTCCATTTTTGACATTTATTGTACAGTATGCGGTTATGAGGGAAAAACAATAAACTGAAATTTTGTGAGTTGAAAAATTACCTGGTAATGGTAACCATGTTATTGCTTGTCATAGGGGACACAACACCTAGAGGTTTCTGGGCACCACATGACGTATCTCGTTGGAAGTTTGGCATTCCTTTATCATCCCTGACAGTTGGTTTTGCAAACCCTGTTAGTGTTGATTGCTTTAATACTTGGGGTTTTTTAAGTGACAAGACTCGACGTCTTCTTTCCATTGGAGGCTAAAATTGCATAAAGAAACAAGATTACAAAATAACAAAAATTGTAAATCTGGCCATCTCAGGTGCAGTTGTGCCATCAGAGGTGGTTTGCCCTGCCATTGCTATCCATTAAATCCATGTCTTATATAGTCTTATGTGCTGTGCAAAATGTTAAATGTGGTTTTACTTTCTTTTCCATGTTTCAGTTTTGTATCTAAAGTGTAATTTTGATGCAATTCTCGGCGTTCCATACAGCAATTAATAATAAATAACCTTAATGTACTTTGGCATAGAATATTATCTCAAAGCTGAAATGATCAAAAGCCAAACAAGATGTCAATCATTCTTTGAATCTTACAGTAACGAATATTCTAGCTAGCCATAGCATTTTAACCTAGAGTATTATTAAGTTGCCTAGGCATATATGTATGGCCTTTTTAGTACTAGTAGAGGCCTCATCAAAGATAGTAATACTACTACTACAGTGTCAGTAGCTGTCTGTAGACCCAGCTAGAGCCTAGGCCTGCTTACAGAGAGAGGGCCCCAGTCTACCTAGTGTAGTGAAATGATATCAAATGATATTAATTCAGCTGATTAATTTTTATTAATTATATTATAATCTGCAATACTACCTTGTACCAATGGGACAGGGATATACATACACATTTACCATGAAAATGTTTATTGGACATTTACCCTGATACTAAAAATTATTAGGATGAAGTAACGTTTCATTTTTCATTTCATTTCATTTATTTTGTCTCAGTAAAAAAATACATGAAAACAACAATCGGTTACAATACAACAAAGTAAAAGTATAAAATATCTGAAACAGGCTAACCTGAGTCAGAGCATTTAAACCAATATTATATACATTAGCACTATTCTGTAGCCTTGATGACCTAGTTATGCACATCAACTTGCGCTTTGATGATTTAAGGAGCATCTTGTTATTTAAGCTCCAATTGAGAATAATATTCAAATCATTTTGGAGCTACAGTTTTGCAGTTCTGCAGCAGACCTAATGGCTCTAAATAAAATTATATCATCTGCATATTGCAGAACATGGGAAGAAATATCAGACGGCAAGTACAAATATATTAAACAGAATCAGGGCCACAGATCTCTGAGGAACATCATGTTGCATGGACAGGTATTCGAAGATGTTCCTCGAAATACAACTGAGATCTACCATTTAAAGCCCCATTCCCGGCAAAATTTCAGTTTTTAAGAAAAATCTAATTTTTGCATAATGTTATAAAGATTTATAAATATAATACGGAATTGCTAGTTTAAATGAATTTAGACATTCCTAAGAATGAAAAAAATGTAAAATAAGACTGAAATTTTATTTTTTGTGTTCCACACAAAAAATAAATGCGGATGAATTTTTCATGTTGATTTTGCGATAGGTCGTGAGAAGAAATATCGTAGGAGCCGAAAACATTAGCCTATCCAATGCTGCTAGGCTAGGCCTAGCCTTACCTCAATTTAGGTTCTGTTATCACACATAAAAACGGCCGACATGATATTTTCCATTGCTAGTATTGACACTTGTGAATATAATATTTCACAGGAATTATTTCAAATTTGTTAAAAAACTGATTCTGACTGAGATTTTGACACTTAAACAAACAAATCTCAGCCTAACTGAACGACCGCATTGTGGAGATGCGAAGTACAAAAAGTAATCTCATTAGAGAGGGCGCACTTTGTTGACTGTATAAAGTATAAATAAAAGCGAGAGTATTCCAGTGGATGCGATCTACAACCTCTGAATTTGCCTAGTAACGATGAATTCGTCGAGAAAATGGTAATATTTTATGAGAAATAGTCTGTATTTCTCATTTTTTTTATTCTTTTGCGTAAAACTAAAATTCATGCCAATATTTTTCTATGATTTATAAAAATTGGAGTAATGCAAATGCATATTTTCTAAAAAAAGGTCAGTTTTTAGTGAAATTTTGCCGGGAATGGGGCTTTAAGTATGATATAAACCACTGCAAAATAGGGCCACAGATTCCGTAACGATATACGTTATTAAGTAAAATTACCTGTGCCCAATGACGATAAGCTGTGTTTGAGAATCGTTTGGCTAAATCTTCCAGTTACAAAGTCATGTTGAATGGTGACAACAGATGGTGACATTTTAAATGGTCTATTAAGTGACTACTGACAACTCTTTCTAACAGTTTCCTTATAATTTAACACAAAGACACTGGTCTTGATTTCATTAATTGCACCATTCTTGTATTGGAATCACACTGGCCAACTTCTATATTTTGAGGGGAAAACACCCAGGCAGAAGGACAAGTTAAATGTTTTGGCCAAAGGCTCACTGATGTATGTACATAGCTGACGTATGGTGACTTTGATCTAATAGTCTGGGAACCAGGAGCCAATTATTTGCAGAAAATAACCGCATGTTTAATTGTTATTCTTGGAAAGGTAATCCTGCCACCTCAGCCTCACTATGGTTTGGGCTGAGGTAAGAGAATTTATGATTATGGAACCTTTTAGGATATAATTTTCTTTTTTTTTCTATTGTTTTTATAATTTGAAAAAAAAATACTCTACATCTGTCTCTTATACACATCTAGATGTGTATAAGAGACAGATCCAGTGATCTCCAGTTGTTAATGACTACTGTTAACACATTAAATTTTAATACTGCACATACTGTGAGTGTGATACCCATCGGCACTGACTTCCATGAGACAATTGATACTATTGATAACATGCAAATGCGGGCGATGGATTACTTTATTACGGGAGATTCTTGCTTGCTTGCAGGAGTGCGGAAGGTCGTCCCAAGTTCCAGAAGACTCCCGTGAGTTCTGTGAGACTTGGAACCCCTGCCTATTTAAAGTCAATTAAAACAATGATTTCACCAACCAGGTGTAAAGCCACGTGAATGAAAGTTGTAAATTTGCGTCCGAAAAATATTGAAAACACATGAGGTATTTTTCATTATTTTTATGAATGCTACACAAGCAGCGGCATCGCTCGAGTTCTGTTTTTATTTTACGTTATTCCCAAGAAACACATTGCATAGGCCTACTACTAGTTAGGCCTAGGCTATAGGCCTACAATCAATCTGAGTCATCAATGTACACTTAAGACAGATCTTTTATTAAAGTAGATCATATGTAATTTTAGAAAAGTTATTTATAGTTTGGCTTTTAGAAATATTGTAAACTATTCTACTCTTTTATTATCTAAATGTTTATCGAAAAGCATTGAATATGATAGAGCAGATCGCAATATGTGGAACGTTCATGAGAACGCATTTCCTCCATCCACGCAGTGGCGCTATATCCAATCAAAATTACCTCAGCAGCAATCGGCGATCATGGTGCGATGCCCTGCCTTCGCGGTTTTCGTGACGAGTGATCTGACAGATGTGATGGAATAGGGCCTAGAAGATGCTTTTTCTGTTTGTGCATGACTTAGAAAATCTATTTTAAAAAACAATGTACGTATATTTTTTTCAAAAAAAAAATGAATTTTTATAAATAAAGAACATTTTTGTGTGGTAGCTTATAAAGCATGACGTGTGTCGCACCTAAAATTATCATTAACTTTAATACAATAGGACTACCTAGGCCAGTTTGTGCGATATTTTACTTTTCGACATCGACAGAAAATTAATGCAGTAGACTGCTGTTACATGCAAAGCACAAACAGAGAATAGGAAACACAATAGCTTAGTATTATATACAATATGTACATTTATTAATAAAAGCATAGATACATTATTATAAAAGAGAACAAAAATGATGGTGGTAAAACACAATTAAGTACTTTAAGATGCTCGAAAACTTACAGAATTAGCTGAGCCCACGGCTAAGTAAGTTGGATCAAAGACTGGTGTCCGAGACCGGCAAGGTCTATAGATAAACTTAATAAACTACGGCAGACAGCAGACATGTAATAAAGTTAATGATAACTTTAGAACTTTTGGACTGCCTAAATGATAGAATTGTACCTCATTTTATACATTTATGAACAGGATATGTGGGGGAGATTATTATGACATCACCACATAACTTTAAGATGAATTTACTAACTTTAAGATGAATTTGGGAATTACATCATCTCCTTGAGGATGAAGTTTTATATGACATCATCACACAACTCAGATTCAACAGTCCCTTAACCTTATTTGGAATATTAGCCAACAGGTGATTTGGACAACAAAATTTATGAGGGCACTTTAGAACGAACTTTGTACATGCACTCTACAATATGGCTAATTAATCATTGTATTATAGTAAAATAAATGTATTAGGTATAACCTAACACCTAACACTGCATTAATTTGTTCCAATACTTGGACTTAGATATGAACCATAATTCTCATATACCACGATCTGCATATTTAGACGACCCCTTAGTTTTTTGGACAATTTATGTATGCGAGGCGTACTATAAGTATTAAATTTGTGTATACGGACGATCCACAAGACGCATGATTCTAAAAATCCAAAAATGTGTATGTTGCGCATATAAGATGAGCCCACCTTTTTCTATCGTAATTAAAATTTGCTATTAAAGCTTCAGTTTATAATCGAGAATATACGGAACTATTGAAATCCAGCTGCACACATCCACGTTTTCATTGTGAATAGCATTAGAAACTTTGTTGCAACGTGGCTGATGTCTTGATAACCTTTTTCAACTTTTATCCAAAACTTTACCTTTCTCCTGTTTATGTTAATCAGAACAGAAATGTATTACAGTATTCGCTCGGTAAATGTCAAGCTAACTCACATTCATCGGAGTTCTGTCCCGTGTTCAGTTGCTGACATTCTTTTGTCGGCACTTTCGTTTGTTACCATCATTTTTGTTTTTTTATCTGAAGCGATTGCACCACCCATCAAAATTTCCGCAACCCATAGGTTGCGGATCGGTGATCTAGGCTAATCCAACTTGGATTCGTAGTTTGTGGCCTAGCCCAGGCCTACTCTACATAGGCCCTGGCCTACCCTAGGAAGGCCCTAGGCCCAAACTAGCACCTGGGTGTTCCTACTGTAGCTAACCCTAGGCTAGGCCTAGTCAAGCCTTTTTTGTAATGTATGTGAGGGCTGTTGTAGGCCTAGCCTATTCCTACCACTGGCACTGCTACTACTAGGATAGGCACCACATGATAAATTCAAAGTTGAATATATAAAAAAAACACACACACAAAAACTACTCATTCTTAGTTTCATAAAAAAAAACTTTATTTGAGGAAAATTGAGCCACTGGTTACAGTTTTATAAGCATTTGAAGTTTCTGAGCACGTGAATAGCAAGTTGCATAAGTTAACAATAATATTTGTCACTTTTTGCCATATATTTCTGTTAATTTTTGTAAATGCTAAAAAATAGTGTACATTTTGATTGTAAATACTTACTTCAAATTACATTTGTCATGTAGCCTTAATACACAAAGACCCAAAAAATTTATAAATTTTTCAGATGACGTTTGACCCACAATTCTGAAATTGAAATTCGGGAAAAAAATGAAAAAAAAAAAAATAAATAAATTTTAAAAAATAAATAAAAAAATAAGACAAAAAAAAGTCTTCTTGTGCTTGCGTTCTCAGAGTAATTGCATTGTCCGACAAAATGTTGGCGCAATTTGTGACAGGCTTTAATGGTGTATAAAATTTCGCAAACTATAATATAATAAAAACTATAGTACATTAAAAAAAACCAGTAGGTCCACTGATAAATAAGTTTAAGGTAACTTTGTATAAAACATACTCCAAATAAAGTGCAAAATATTGATTCAAAATGTCTTGTCTCTCTTTATTTGGAGTATGTTTTATAATAAGTTATACAGTACATAACTATAGGTATATAATAAAATTTATTACCAGAATTAATCTGGAAGATACAGATCTTTTATTGTCATAAAAATACAAGGTGCAATTATGAAATTTTCCTTCCTTATTGCAAATCTACTCGAGTATAAAAATAAATATAAATATATTAAAAAGCACATATGATACGGTAACACAAAAACACAATTCTAACTACAAGAATTCTACTAACAATATATATTATCTTAGTTTCCTCTTATTAAATTCTATAATTGCTGACGGCAGAAAAGAGTTCCTAAATTTTCCAGTTTTAATATTCGGCATTCTAATTCGTCCGGATTTATTAATCATTATTTCCCCATGTAAAGGGTGTGTTATCAGCTATGATTAAGTTTAGTTTCTTATACAGAAGGTCAGAGTAGAGAGCCTCGAGTTCCACCATGTTCTTTCCTACTACTTTACCAGCTGCTTTAACAACTCTATCTAGCCTGCAACTGGTTGGCCTTGGTTATATTGTTACCCCCATACAATACAGCAGAAACTAAGTACTGATTGGATAACAGATACATAAAACAATTCCATAATCTTGCTACATAAATTGAACCTTTTCATCTTCCTTAAAAAATACAGATGTATATTGCATTTTGCATTTACTTTATCAGTATTGAAGTTCCAATTAAGTTTGTTATCCACAAAGTTCCCCAGATATCTGTACTGAGATATAACCTCTACTTGTTTATTATTAATTAACAAAGAATCATGTTGTGTTACTGACTTCCTATGATCAATAATAATCTCTTTTGTTTTGTCAATGTTTAGCATCGAGTGGTTATTAAGGCACCAATCAACAAAAGAATCAACATGCTGTTTATATTTATCAACATGATCTTTCTCGATTAACCCAACAAGACAGGTGTCGTCAGCATATTTTATGCAAAAACAACTGTCATCGGTAATAGGCGATATAAAATCGCTTGAATAAAGTGAAAAAAGAACAGGCGATAAACTACACCCTTGTGGAGCACTAGTATTAGATAGTTCAGACTTTGAAATATTATTGTTGAAACGTACTGTTTGTGACCTGTTAGATAAGAACTCTGATATCCATATTTTAAGTACTGGGTTAACATTCATCCCTGTAAGTTTTTTCATCAGTAAATAGGGTTGTATCGTATTGAAGGCTGATGAGAAATCCAGAAACAAGATTCTGGCACAAGTTGCCTTTCCCTCCAAATGCTTATTGACCTTATGAGTAAGTGTCAGCACCGCATCATCAACCTCCTTATTTTCTCTATATGCATATTGGTATTTATCCATTGATTCCTTAGTTTGTGTACACAGAATATTTTCAATAAGCTTTTCAAAACATTTCATGGGGATTGGTGTCAATGCGACAGGTCTAAAATCATTATGAATAATCTTTCAGGAAGTAAAACTATCCCCTGCCGGACACCATCTCGGTATTTCTGAGTCTAGCTTTCGGGGCTGGAAATAATAATTATGTACTAAATTAAGTTACACAAATGAAAAATAAAAATATTACCAGTGGTAATCTAGAAGTAAAACTATCTCCCGCCGGATTTCAAATGACGAATTTCATTGGCCGTTACGCATGACATAATCCTCTTGCAACAAAAACTAGCATCGTCTCACAATTCTCTCGAAATCATCCTATGTTTAATATCCACTTCAATCCTTAATATTTAACTACTTTTTTAGATAATCATTAGCTAAAAGTATATTTTAATACTTTAAGTATCATTTAGTTAAACTTTTTGAACTCATATTTTATTCATATGAAAAATATTGCCGTTTATATGCAGCACTTTCGTTAAGATCGTTATGGTTTACCTCGCGACAATGTGTACACGACGGCCGATCAACAGCTGATCGTTGGTTTTGCAATGCCAAAAAAAAATATATTGCTACGCCTCGTATTAGATTCATATTTGGCAAATAAACTCTTAGTATATGTATAAACTAATCTTGGTTATTAAAAAATTTAAATTTTTACTCGCAATTCTCTTAAAAAAACGATAAATTTTAATGAAATTTTTAAAAGCTGATAACTTCGATAAAAAAGTTGACCAATTTCGGAAAAAATCAAAATGGTATACTACTTCAACCCCTGAGTGACCTGACTGACCTGAATTATTATTATTATCATTAAAATGTCTCAACCAATCAAAAAGCATTTTATATGAATGTTTTCTTAAGGCCTTTGTTGACAAAAAAACGCTTGGCTGAACTGGGTGTTTTTTTAATGACACTACCAGGGTCCCATATTTACGGTCGTCCGATCGCCCGAGACGACCTTAATCATGTAAGGACGAGTAAAACATTTAGATTAATCGTCCGTGAGACGACCATTATTGTAATTGTAAGAAACATCTTACTTTAGGCCTAAGCTCCGGCAGCGGCTGCCGGCTCGTATATCACTCTACCTACTTTGTATTTTTGTTCGTGGTTTCTCGAGGTTCGCTTCTAAGCGACATTTTCAAAACAATGTTGATCTGTTTAGATGATAGCCTTGATAGATCGAACGGTCCCTGTGTATCAGTAATGTATTCGTATCGCTATACACGGTAACACTGCGCTATATTGGCTGGATTTCATAGCCTAGTACAGGAACGCGTGCTTTATGGCTACTTACTATATACACGTACGCGGGTAAATTACAACCTATGTAACTGTTGCAATCATCGCATACTATTCAACCTTTTTACGGGCAAATAAAATAAAGCAGTTACTTCCTGTTTATCTCGGAGACGCGACGAGTTTGTGGAAAGATGTGGCGGTTCATGGATAATGTCTCGCAGCCTCAGCCAAAAAAAGCGAAAAAAACCAAGGAAGAAACTTTACAACAGCAAAGTAAATATGAACATGAAGTGAGAAAACGTTGCTTTTTGCCGTCGTGGCAGGTGAATAGGCCCTGGTTAACTCATAATTGAAAGTTAAGGAGGAAGCCAGTGAGTTGTAAATAATAATGAAGCATGTTTTGAAACAAAAATTTGTTGTCCAATCTTATTATTACTTGTTTGTACAGTAGTTTTATACAGTACAATACATACATTTAAAGAAATAAATATACACACCCTCACTGTAAACGTTGGACTTCAAGATTTGCAAAAAATGTAAGGGCAAGTTAAATTTGTTAAGGGCAAGTAAAATATGACACCAACTTGCCCTGCTGACCACTAAGAAAAAATCTTAATATGGGACCCTGCACTACAGTAATTGAAGTACGTGACATCACGCATCGTGTGGTGCCTAATAAAACTAGGGCCTACCACCGACTAGAGAGGGGCCTATCTAGGCCTAGGAATATACAAACAACTACAAATTGACAGATAGGCCTAGGCTAGGCATAGCCTAGTAGCCTAGGGTAGGCTTCAAAGTCTTAGGCCTAGCTAGGCCCAGGGAGGAAGGGTAGCCTGCCCTAGGCCTACCTAGGCCTAGTTAGGTACCCCTGGCCCTAACTAACTTATAAATATAATATTAATAGATAGGCCTAGATACATTTTTGCGAGATTTAAAACGCATTTGTTACAAAAAAACAGAAAGGTTGTATTTTTGAAATGCACATTTAATATATGCAACAATAAAACAATATATTCACCTCACTAATATAACAGAAAAGCTCAATACAAACTCAAGAAATTCGTAAATTCGCGCGATGTCGTTAGACGATTTTTTTTGTACGTCGTGTTTACGGTCAAAGGTCATAGATTCCCATAATATCCCATCATGCATCATGGAAAACATACATTCTTTTCTTCCGGTTGCCTGATTAGAGCTGTGAAGGTTTGTGATGTTCTGATTTAAAATCGTGTAAATACTCAGTAATCATTGTAAAGTAGCCTATTTCCTCTTTAATATATACATTTTATGTATTTTGTGAGCACATCTTACAATTATTTCAGAACATACCTTTTTATCTAGATATAATTTTAAGTAGTAATAAAGTCCAGTCTGAATGGATCCACCTTTTATTTGTAAAAATAGACCAGTAATAATAAGGTCCGTAGCCGTTCGTTTTGTTTTTCAGCACATCCTTTAAATTATTGAGCTTAGAATCTATGACATGTATTGCCAATTATGATCTATGCTAACAATGTTGATATTGTATTGTGATACATTATGTTCTTGGTGCTTTGCCTAGCTTGGGCCAACCAAAGTAGCCTAGGCCTAGGCCCACCTAGGCTAGGCCTAGGCAAAAAACAATTGAACTTTTCATTTTTACAAAATATGTTTTATTACATGGACACTTAAACTAAAATTTGTTCGACAGTTTCGACAAATTTGTTTCTGTGACAAACTAATAATAACAATTATTATAATTGTTGCAGGCCTAGCTAGCCTCCAGGCCTGGGGAGGCCTAGGCCCCAGGGGTGTAGAGTCGTTTCGGCCCTGAGTCGATTCAGCCCCGAGTCGTTTCGGCCCTGAGTTGGTATTTTTGTCATGCATTTCGACCGCGGTGTATGGAGCGCCGAAGGTGTGGCCGCGAATAATAATTTAATAAAAAAGGTACTGTTTGTTAAACATAAGAAACTTAGGCTAATGCCACATTATCGGATATTAACAATTCTTTTTAGTAGTATTTTATTTTTATTATTATTATTAGGCCTATTATTCATTTCAGTATCAAATGGTGTCATCTTTCTTTTTACAGAAACAACAAAAATGTTACAAGTCAATTGGTTTGGAGACATGTTTCTTTTATCGTTTCCATACGATATATATTTGGATCATGTTAATAAATGCTTCAATAAAATTTAGATTTAAAATAAGTAGGCTATAGTTAATTAAGCGGATTAGTTTGTCATAAGTTTTTTTTTCTTTTTGTTTGTTGCGTCTCAATTTACATTACCAAATGTTCTATTTATAACAATACATAGGCCTATAAAAAATAAATTAAAATATACTGAATGACGTGATAATGAAAATAAAGCAAATATATTATTGTATTCATAAGGCCGACAAAATCACTCATTGCATAGAAATTAACTAAATAAATTAACTACAGTATAACTTGAGGAAAGAAACGTTTTCAACAATTATGTTGAGGTGAAGCAGACACATGGTTTGTATCTTCCTGTTTGTTTTATTTCCATTGTCGATACATATTTTGATTAGACATGTTTATAAAATACACAAATAAATAAAATCTATAAGCCTACAATGTTAATGGCTGTTTCAGGCTTCTTTTGAAATTTAGCAAGTCGGAAATTTCACTCACAAGGCATATTGTTGCATGGAAACTAACTACAGTATAAAAATCGGAAAGAAACGCCCACAAACAGGTTCCCACTTTAGGGTGAAGCAGACATGCGCACTATTGCAAAGAGTGAAGTAGGTCGGATGATAAAATTTGACTGGCTATTTTTAGGTGCAAACACATGCCATGGCAGTGAATGTGTACGCGTCTGTTCTCTCGTCTATGGTTCCGATTTAAAAAAAAAAAAATCAACTTTGTTTTATATTTCATTTACCATGTTTAATATTTCATTTACCATATATCCATAAATGGTCAGGGCTCCTGCCGGCAGGAGCGAATCCAGAGATGTCCGACAGGGGAACTGAAAATGGGGCCGACCGAAATAACACCGCCCTAAGGGGAGATCCGCGATATATTTGTCTTCTAGACAGACGCTTGAATTTAACCTCTGAGGCGTTTTGGGCGATCAATTTTTTTTCCTCCTTTTTTTAACTTCCTAAAAGGGTGACGGGGCTAAGGATGCCCGGTGCTGTGTGAACTCGATCTCTCTCCCCCACCCCCCTTTCTGACACCTCTGGATCCGTCCCCGATGAATCCATATTTGCGATTTGGATTAGGTTGTACTGATGATTTTTTTTTTAATTTTTTTTTTGATAAATGAAATCATCACTAGCCACAAAAACAAACATGAAATTCAGATATATTTGATTTAACAATTAAAATACCACAACAAAACACAAAAACCTTTATTAAGGATAATTTAGAAATGGATAATATAAGTGTACTGTCTTGTACACTTGGCTTTCCAATACTGGGAACTGCAAGAAAAAAGAACATTGTTTTTGAATATCCACATACTGTAAAATTATATTCAAAATAATTAAAATTTCGGAAACAATAACAATTGTAAAAGTTAAATAATAATCATACTGAAAATACAAAAAAATAGTATTGTGTATAATCAAGGATCGTAAAAAAAGACAAAATAAATCATACTAATACACACAAAAAAATCGCTTTAAAAATACAGAACCCAAATAAAACACAGCGCGTACTTGGCGCTCCATACTATTGCTGTGTAAAGACGTTGAAGCATCTTACAATGTAAAAAATTGTTTGAAATCGTTATACAAAAATTGATGAAAATCTGCATTTTTTTAGCTCCAATTCAGTAGACATTATTCAGGTTAAAATTGTGCTGATGGTACACAAGTTTAATCAAAACTTAGATATTTATTATATTTGATAATACTTCTATTTTAAAAATGTGCAAAGGTAAGACTTTTTTTATACATTGTTAAGCGAACCAACCGCTCGCCGGTAATGGTGATTTCGATAAAATTTTATTTTTGGTCAATTACTGTAAGCACACCCGCCGCCCCAAAAATAGGAAATTACAGAAAAAAATAAGAGTTTCTTTATTTTTATTACGCCCACTGCTGCCTTGAATATAAGATGTATCTATCTTCCTAATAATATAAATTTAAAGCATTTAACCATTTCATTACTACACTGTTTACATTCACCAATAAAATTTTATTTTTATTTTCTCCTCCGTCTGGATGTTTTTGGCAATACTATTTGCTAAATGAAAAATCCAAAATTTAATTTTTATTAGTTCCTATGTATATAATGCAATAGGAACTCATGCAATAGGGACTCTTGCAATCACATTTTGTGTGTGTGTGTAGACATTTAGAATGAAGTTGCGCATTCGTCAGAAAAAGTTTTCCGACATATTGTTTTTACCTCGCGACGTGAAGTTCATCAATGGTGGTTCAGTTACCTTCTTCCGGGTTTTTGCTTTTGATTAGCGCCCCCAGTTGCTTGATAAGAAAATAATTAGAGCCCGCTCCGAATTACCTAATATGGTAAAATAACTTCCTATTAAGTCAAGTTTGCAATCCACTCAGTTTCTTTCTGAAACCCAATGCAACACGAAGCCTAGTTTTAGTTTTCCAACATTTTGTTTTTACCTCCTGACGTGACGATCTTCAGTGGTTAAGTTTGAGCTCGCGCTATTTCGATCACTGCCGATTGGCAACATGAATTCTTCAGTGTGGTTCAGTTTGAGCTCACGCTGTTTTGCCATAGGTAAAAGGTAATAGGTAAAAGTCTTGACTAACCTGCCACTTACAGAATGGATTAAGAATAAAATTTAAATATATGTTACTGTATAAATAAATGTAAAAGCTAAAGGACACACAAAATAGAAAGAAATAACACATTACTGTAGGTCCAAGTAGTATTGCCTCAACAATTTTTTATACTCATTTTACTTTCTTCTTTCTCTGTAGCCATGGCAGTCAGACATGACATGTGTGTCGGCCTTAACAAGGGTCACAAAACAACCAAAAATGTTAACTCTAGAAAGGGTGTAAAGAAGGGGGTAAGTGTATTTTTAAATTTTCTTAGTCACGTGTTGTCTTGTGATTTCATTGTTTAATTGCAAATCTATCAATGAACTCAATGGACTCTTTAATTTAAATGAATGTCACTGAGGTTCACTTAGTAATTTTGTGACAAGAATGAAATTTATGTTTATTGATTTACGCTTGTATTCATGTTGGGCATGGCTGGTTTCTTGTTTCAGAATCCCCGAAAGCATGTGAAGTTTGTACGCGACTTGATCCGAGAAGTCGTTGGTTTTGCACCATATGAGAAGCGTTGTATGGAGTTGTTGAGGATAAGCAAGGATAAACGTGCTCTGAAGTTCTGCAAAAAGAGGGTATGTGATACAACCAATTCAAAAGGTTTAGAAGTACATTTTTACCTTTTGTAGGGGCCTCGAACCATATCATGATCAGCTGACTACGAATCATGTAACTCCCTTTGTGCTCTTTTTGTTTGTTTAAGAACAGTGTTTGATATACACACATAAAATCAACTAAGCCTTTCTGTGTAGTGTCAAATAACTTCGATCACATATTTTAAGAATATAATTATTGTAGTAAGTTGAATGAAAGCGAACACTCCTACAGACCTTGATTTAAAAGGAGCGTGATTGCCCTGGCACTAATTCACGTTCCTCAGCACGATCTAAGGAGAGCAACAAATAGCGCTTCTTGATTTACCAGGGAACTAAAACAAATGACAAAAATTGTAGTTTAAACGTTGCAGACCTTGATTTAAAGAAATCAGAGGAGAGCTACACCTCCGAGTATCAAATCAAGGAGCTCTCCTCAGAATTTGTGCAAAATCGATGACATTATTTAAAGGAGCGGGTGGTCTTGCTAAGAAAAAAAAGATATTTTTCTTGATTGGAATTTGGAGCATTTTTTGAGGACCATAACTTCAAAGGGGGAAAAAAAAAAAAATCTGATTTTTACTATCCTCTATATCTTCGTTTGTTTAAACAAAGTCTGCCCCTTGTTATTTCCAGGTATTTCGTACCTATTTTCTGCACGTGTCTTAATGGCAAAATCAGCCTATTTCAGCAGCCTTTTGAAAACATCTCTCCCAAAAAGTTATGAGCTCTGTGATACTCGGAGGAGAGCTATTTGTAGGTTGGATGGGACTGTTTTTATCTAGCTCTGCAACAGTATAGGTTACATTGAGACTTCCTATTATACACCTTTAATTCATCAATTTTTTTTTTTAATAACATGTAAAGTATGTTGGTTAATAACCGAAATATCAACTGATTAATCTCTGATAAGATAGGCGTGCATTTCGATACTTGGAGCAGGTTAATAAGCAATGTAGATTTCAGCAATCACTGTCCTTAAAGTTTGCCATTCTTTTAAATGATTTTAACACAACATTTAACTTTCAAACTTTGTGGAAATTTAAATGTAAAATTTGTAGCAAAATTGTTTAGTATTTTAGTATGGTAATTTTAATTAAATTTCTAAAAGGACTTTCAATTAAATAAATAGTTCCTTTCAACTAAAACACATTTGGAATGGTTCATAGCCTCTCTACCCAAACATGTACAGTAGAATAATTCCACTAATGATGTGTGTATTAATTTATTCATTTTAATCACCTGTTTTAAATTTATTAATTTTCCTTTTTGGAATGACCCAATCCCATCAAACCTCCACTGGATTTACTTTTACAAGGTCAATTGCCAGACAATAGCAATGTGTCTACTGCCCCCTCCCCCACAAAAAAAAAAAAAAAAAAAAAAAAAAAAAAAACATTGGAAGGAAACCAATGTTATCAGTCAATAACAATGTCAATTTTTTTTCTATTTAGTTGGGAAGTCTTGTCCGAGGAAGACGGAAGCGAGAAGAAATCCAAGGAGTTCTGGCTGCACAGAGGAAAGCACAACAAACAAAAGCTGATGTAAAATAAACAGTTTCTCTATAAATTATTCAAACACAATTTTTCTGCAAAATATCCATGAACTTTAAAACCGCATCTTGGAGCTAGTTTTATTCTACTTGTTTGTGTTTATCTGCCAACAACTATCATTATATATCAATCATATGATGACTATTAAACACATGAAACTGATTTATATGATTTGTGGCTGTTATCTGTGTATGTGTGTGAATCTGGAATGTTGTTTAATTAAAACAACTGCTAGTGCAGCCAAGAGGCAATGGAACTAGGGGGAGGTGTGTGACTGCATAAAAGAGCATGGTGCATTTACGTGGGAGTCTGAAAAGATGGAAATGAAGTTGGTTGTTAAGAGATGAGAGAAATCCATGGTTAAACCAGGGAGAGCCAAGGCATGTTGTACAGAATGTGGGTGCGGAACTTTTGAGTTTAATAGGTTTGGTATGGGGAGGTGGAATTTTATGAAGATGGTCATGCATAATCTTGCACAACCAACTTCAGTTTTTTTGTAGAAGTTGGGGAGATTTAGCCATGATTGTTGTTATAGACCATGTATTGTCACGCTTTGAAAATAGGCATAGATTTTGGAAACATGCAGTATGACAGACGAACACATGGAAATGCACTTTCGAACTCCAGAATTACAGTAGGCACAACTCACTTAAAAGGAAAATAATGTACAAAATATCATACCTGTTTGAATACTACTGTAATGTAACATATACATCGAGTGTAAGCAGATTATGTAGGGCACACTGCGTAAATGTGAATGCTCACGTCATCCAAGTGATGTTGCAAAAAATTCCAATTTTTTATTTTGGCCTGATAATAGTAATAAATGTTTTGCTGCATAAATTTGTCGAAATCCAGTTTGCTGAATCTTGCCGTCACAGCATACACAGTACTGTGCTTTTTAAAACTTGATGGGTGGGTCAGGGAGTAGCCGTATTTATATATAAATTAAAAGGCAAAATATTGGAAAACAACAATGTTGTGTAAAAACACTTGAAGGCATATGGCTATCAGTTAAAATAATTTGAAATAAAATGAAGGATGACGGAACAAAAATATTTTAATTAATTGTTTTGCTGATAGCCAAATTGCTAACCAAGTTTTACTTACAGTATAAGACAAAGAATAATTAAACTACAATAAACTGCTATTAATTATACGAATACACAGTGATGGCTTCAAAATTCTCAGTCATTGCAATTCAGGCTGGCCAGCCAGCCGTGGGCCCTGACTTTCTACTGGTGCCACCATTTTAGTAGCAGAATATTACATCAATTTTAAATAAACTATACGGCAGGGTGTCTATGGAAAAAAAGCCTGGTTGGAGGTAAGGTGGAGCCTTGAGATAAATGGGCAATAATGAGACATTTTAGACATTTTTTTGGTCTGAAGGGGATTAGCATTTGACAGGAGCTTGGATGCCACTTGCCCTCCATGAGGTATGATTGTTGCAAGTGTGTATCCCACTTGATTTTTGTCTACTGTCCCAGGGGGGGGGGCAGTAGACTTGTCAGAGTAAATCTCATGAAGGAATGATGGGATGGGTCATAAACTAAAGATTATTATCATAAAAAAAATGAAAAGCAAGTTTACAGAATATAAAGACCTGTCATAGTATTCAAGTGAATTGCCAACACAGAAAGCTGCTAGAAAAAATAAGACCTGTCCTAGAAAGTTCACTAAAAAGTAGCAATCTGGTAATACTTAATTCAAGTGAATTGCCAAAAAAAACTACTGTATGTCAAGCAGTAGACAGGCGCTCACACTGGGAGCCTATTTTATATTTGGTGGCAGCACATTAATCCTGGCAATTGAGTATAAAATGTAAACAACTTGAATGTTCAAACCTATCATTGGCTGTGATACTAAACCCCACCAACCAGGCCACAAGAGACCCATAGGGCCATGGTCCCAACACATGCCTTGAATACCAGTCTCTGAAGAGCTACAGTAATATATAAACTAATTGCACCTACAACCTGTTTATTTTTGTAATTTAAAGAGACAATATCTTTTTTTATGAAACCATTTAAAATTTCTCTATATTTGTTTTGGAATTGCTCTGGGGACAAGAAGGATTTGACACTACAACCGAACCTTTATGTTCTAGGCCTGTCTCTTATACACATCTAGATGTGTATAAGAGACAGACACAGTACTGTGCTTTTTAAAACTTGATGGGTGGGTCAGGGAGTAGCCGTATTTATATATAAATTATGTTTATTCCAGTGGAAAAATAGAAAGTAATCACAACCTGGCTGGCTTGGTAAACCAATACATACCAGCAGTTAGAAAATTCACAATTCATCAATTGTTCTCAACTTGCAATTTTTATATATAATATCCAAGTTCTATGTACATGCCACATTGCTAAATCATTCGATATAATAAATTGTTCATACAATTCACCCTATATTAAAGCATTGCAATCGTAAATTTACAAATAGCATAGAAAATATTACAAGACACTTTCAAATTACTTTCCATAGCTAAAAGCTAACTCAGTATTCCCATAACAGATTTATCATGTAGAAAATTTGTACAGATGCTATTTTTAAATTGTTAAGCTACAGGATAAAATTCTTTAGATGCAAAAACAGGACCTTAAATACGCCCTGCAGCGTACAAGTCTCAACATCAATTAAGGCATAGATATATGGTAATACTAGACTCATTATATTATTGAATTGGAATCCTGGAATTACAGGAAGTGCCCAATACATACAACTACTTTAATTAGTACACAAATCAATTTTTTTTTTCAGAGAGAAAATTATGTTCACCTGTATTCAAATGTATAACTTTCCCTGATTTACCACCAGGTATTCTACAGGGGGGCAGTACAATAGAAACAAATTAATGACCGTTCAAAAAACTTCAGAAGTTTCATTTTAGTGTATACTACTGTTAAAGTTTTATAAAAGAGTACCACTATACAATTAATAACTTGAATAAGAAATTTGAGAAGATTATATTGATAAGTTTTAAATGGTGATGATTATAATGAATGTGTATGAGATAAAATAGGATAGGATCTAAAGTGGAATAATAGTGTATACCATACTTCAAAATTGTAACAAGAAAAAAAAAAAACACTTTACCAAGTTTCAACTTAATAACTAATAATCTTTTTACTTTAATTGGGAAATTTGTAATTTAAAAAATACCTTATTAACTTGTACCTGCCATATTGAAAATTAATAAACTCAATCTTGACTGTATGAACGATTCAGTTCCTTCATAATTCTACTCAGTCAATTTATGTTAATATATTGCACATAATTTAATTTTAAAGTTTTATCATATCACTCGAGAGATTCAGGGCTAGTTGACAAAATTACAATCACTACTCTTGGCCTGTTTTAATTAATATTTTCCCTGTCATTCCTTCTTTGCTTAATGGAGTACAAGACAGATTGCGTCTTCAGGGGTCCCAAGTTGGATGAAGCCACTTTCCTGAGACCTGGTTGAATGGGCTTTCTTTAACATATCTAATCTTATTTTGCTGTGTGTGGTGTAACCTATCGGCACTGATTTCCGGGGAGACAATTGATAATACAATACTGTAGTAAAAAACATGCAAACTTTAAGATTTTCCGTGACATTTTTGCTTGCTTACGGGAGTATGGGAGGCCGTCTCAATTTCCGGGGGACTCCTGGGACTTGCAACATCTGCATCTTGCCTGCAAATAATTCTAGTGCTCAAACATGGTATTAAAGATTATGGGACAATTCATATAGAGGGTTTGTTTCCAGTCAACATTTGTCCACAACCCTTACAAAAATAAACATTCCATAATAATAAAAAAATAGGCATAAAAGATAAATTTCATAAATATACTACTAATAATAAAAAATAAACAAATAATTATTAATAATACTACTTTACAATTCTATTAAAGCTATACACTGTACAACTACATCTAAATAATATAAAACTAAATTAAGATTCTAAAAATTAATATGGCTTATCACTCTGACTAGTACTATATAATTTGTAAATGGAAACATCAATAACAATCATGGATTACCAACAGATACTTTGATGCCAGGTTAAATTACATATTGACAAAATCAATTTTGAGTCGACACAAAGAATAAAATTATCAACAATAACTTCATTTCAATCAACAGTTTTTGTATACATTGTGGTGTTATCCCAAAGCATTATGGGATAGTGGTTTTTAATGTTTCATACACAATAATTCATACTGTACTGTATTAATCTCTTTTCAACTTTTGTTATTTTCTCATAAAACATCTAACAGCGCTCTGCAGAATTATCCAAAGCATCATGGAAGGTCTACAATGCTGAGGTAATTCTGATGGTTTATGCAAAATCTTTCCAATTTCTCAATGCAACTTTTTAATTGTAATAAAGTTCAGTTGATGAACAATTTTTGATAATAATATATGATAATAATGACATCAGAATTGATAAACCTAATGATGACAATAACATTTCCACACAACTTATTTCAAATAATATAAAAAGCACCATTTTTTGGAAAGTTACATCTAAACATCAAATATTGTAAAGATACCATCAATAAAATCGATAAGTAAAACCTAATATGATATAAAGATAATATATCGTGGACATTTTGATGAATTTATACACTTGACTGGCTGTGTTGCTTGTAACTGTAAATTGCTAACATATTGGCAAGGCAGAACATGAAAAATATACTGCCCTTGAAAAACAAAAATTAATACACAATGCATTGAACCATTTTTATCGAAATGTATTACAAAAATAAGCCACATAAATTAGAGAAAACAACCAAATAAATAATAGGCAATAACCTTCTGAGAAATGAACCAATCTAGTTTTTACAGTATATTAATCATATTTTGAACGCAATTGGTTATAGGATTCATTTAAACTAAATTCAACTTTATGTAATAATTAATTGTAAATTGTGAATAAAAATATATAAAATATAATGAATAAAATATTAGCTGGATTAGGGTTGAATTAAGAATTTGAGAAATGGGTACTGGCCCTGAACAGGTGGACGACATATTCAAGATCATCAGTTAGTTGTAATAAAAACAAGAAGGCATTTGAACACAGTAAGTATCCTTCACTCCATTTAATTGTGATTAACTTCCACTGTTAATTGTAATGACATAATTTTGACTAAGATGGTGTTAATTAATAACACTGACAAGCACCCTCAATAGCTTGAACTTCACTGGTTGCAGAACTTGATAATTTGGCTATTTTCTTTTGAGTTTGGCACTGTCACCTTTTAAACCTTCTGGTCGTAGTTCCCGGTACTGATGCTGTAAGTAGGAGAGGCAACAAATTAAGTTTACTTGTTTAATCAATATAAAAAAAAATACACAATGATATTAAATTTTGACTGTTGTAGATTCATATGATATTAAATTTGTTTTAAGGATTTTGCTAGTATTATTAAGCAAGACACTTCATCTACATTTGTCTCTCTTCACCTAGGTAAACGATTTGGAATGAAATTGGTAGTGATGAATTAAACACACAATTAGGAATACTCCCCCAAGAGTGGAGGAGGTAGCAAATAATGTATGATTGATTCTGTATTTAATGAACTTAAAATAGTGGTAATAATAGTAATAAAAAGTGGTTGGTTGTTGATGAGGTGCTATTAGTACATAGATCCTAAATATAATGTGGAATATTTACCAGTTCATTATCAGAAGGCACTCTTGATAAAAAGTCCAGTAACTCATTATTATTAATTGCATGAGGCTTCCGTAACTTCTTAGTAAATTTATTAATACCTGGAATAGAAAGAATGATCATTAGTTAAACATGATTTTCTGCACCTTCATTCAAACAATCAAATGTACGTACCTGTACATATTGGAAAGTAGTACATTTGGCCGAGAGGTATTGTTCCTGCATCTTGTGCTACCCTGATTTAAATCCGGTTAGCGTCGGATTTTGAATGGAGTCGATCACTCGGCCCCGAGTAACCCTGGCATGTTAGGTGAGACAGGGGACATATTGGTACTGGCCCTGTATTATGGTTGCTGAGGATCCCCAGAGGCCCAGCCGCAATTTTTAATTCCAAATTTGGAATAATGACAAAAAAATCAAATCAAATGAAAGTGAGAGATGGGTGCTAGCTGGGACAATAAGGTGAGCTTAACTTTTTTAGGAATGACGGTTTGGAATAGGCTCATTGTCAAACATGTTTGTACTTACCCCATGCAAGGAGGAGTATTCGTAGAGGAATCAAATACAGGATTAATGTAGCAACACACAGGATGAAGATGAGTAGGAAAGACAACCACGGTACAGTAAAATTAAATGTACTAAAGAAAAGAAAGAAATCAACTCAGATCTTTCTGGCATTTAAATTTGTTTTCAACATCAAACATACATAATGTTCATATTATGATACAGTACTAGGCTTTTTAATCACCACTCCAACAATAATGATAACAATGGTAGTACAGTACAGTGACATATTACTGTTATACACATTCCACCATTTCATTCAAATTTATGAGAGTGACCTATTCACTATTGGTAATCTTTAGTTTTTATGTGCTTATTTCATATTCCCTTGAAAGTTTGATATATAAACTATACAATTCATCACACTGTTGACACTGAAGGCATGTGTACATACAGTATATCAAATCCTTCAAAGTTAAATATGAATTTATCACACTGTCAAAATATTTCAAAGAATTTGTTGATAAGCATATACTTTAAACTGTAAAGCTCTATCCAGATTATCACATTTTCTTTGACAAAATAGTCATGATGTGCCTATATATGGTCATGATGTAATGTCACCATGACCATATTTAGGCATATCATATGTTTTTGTCAAATAAAATTTGATAATCTGGACAGGGCTTTACACATGGTTTTTCTTCTGACTTACTTTTTGAGCCTTTCTCCAAGACATGCAATTTCATCTAACTTGTTCTGAATGGTTTGGCAGACTTTTTCTATGATTGCTAACTTTTCTCTAAAACTTTTTTTTTCTTCCTGAAAAATAAAAACAAATAATAATAAAGACAAATTTAATAATATAATCAAACATTGATGGATTTAATTAAAACACACATATATATATACACATATATATATACACATATATATACATATATACACACATATATACACATA